CAACTGAGCTATGAAGGTGCTTATAGACTCAACCGCAGAAAAATTAGTGGCTTCGGCGACACACTTTGCCAACAATACAGTTGGACCCACATGGTCAATGAAAAAGGTTGAACAGAGCATAGACCAATGAAATCTGGTGTTTGGAGGTGGAGTTGAACCAGCGACCTTTGGACCACAGCGTTTCAGTAACTTCTTAAAGTCATGGGCACTACCAACTGAGCTATGAAGGTGCTTATAGCCCCACCAGCAGAAAACATAGTGGCTTCGGCGACACACTTTGCCAACATAACAATTGAACCAACATGGTCAATGAAAAAGGTTGAACAGTGCATACAGCAATGAAATCTGGTGTTTGGAGCTGGAGTTGAACCAGCGACCTTTGGACCACAGCGTTTCAGGAACTTCTTACAGTCCTCTTCTCTACCAACTGAGCTATGAAGGTGCTTATAGAATCAAACGCAGAAAACATAGTGGCTTCGGCGACACACTTTGCCAACAATACAGTTGGACCCACATGGTCAATGAAAAAGGTTGAACAGAGCATAGACCAATGAAATCTGGTGTTTGGAGGTGGAGTTGAACCAGCGACCTTTGGAACACAGCGTTTCAGGAACTTCTTAGAGTCCTCTTCTCTACAAACTGAGCTATGAAGGTGCTAATAGACTCAACCGCAGAAAAATTAGTGGCTTCGGCGACACACTCTGACAACACAACAATCAAGCCACCTGGTCAATGAAAAAGGTTGAACAGTGCATACAGCAATGAAATCTGGTGTTTGGAGCTGGAGTTGAACCAGCGACCTTTGGACCACAGCGTTTCAGGAACTTCTTACACTCCTCTGCTCTACCAACTGAGCTATGAAGGTGCTTATAGAATCAAACGCAGAAAACATAGTGGCTTCGGCGACACACTTTGCCAACAATACAGTTGGACCCACATGGTCAATGAAAAAGGTTGAACAGAGCATAGACCAATGAAATCTGGTGTTTGGAGGTGGAGTTGAACCAGCGACCTTTGGAACACAGCGTTTCAGGAACTTCTTACAGTCCTCTGCTCTACCAAGTGAGCTATGAAGGTGCTTATAGACTCAACCGCAGAAAAATTAGTTGCTTCGGCGACACACTTTGCCAACAATACAGTTGGACCCACATGGTCAATGAAAAAGGTTGAACAGAGCATACAGCAATGAAATCTGGTGTTTGGAGGTGGAGTTGAACCAGCGAACTTTGGAACACAGCGTTTCAGTAACTTCTTAAAGTCATGGGCACTACCAACTGAGCTATGAAGGTGCTTATAGCCCCACCAGCAGAAAAACATAGTGGCTTCGGCGACACACTTTGCCAACATAACTATTGAACCAACATGGTCAATGAAAAAGGTTGAACAGTGCATACAGCAATGAAATCTGGTGTTTGGAGCTGGAGTTGAACCAGCGACCTTTGGACCACAGCGTTTCAGGAACTTCTTACAGTCCTCTGCTCTACCAACTGAGCTATGAAGGTGCTTATAGAATCAAACGCAGAAAACATAGTGGCTTCGGCGACACACTTTGCCAACAATACAGTTGGACCCACATGGTCAATGAAAAAGGTTGAACAGAGCATAGACCAATGAAATCTGGTGTTTGGAGGTGGAGTTGAACCAGCGACCTTTGGAACACAGCGTTTCAGGAACTTCTTAAAGTCATGGGCACTACCAACTGAGCTATGAAGGTGCTTATAGCCCCACCAGCAGAAAACATAGTGGCTTCGGCGACACACTTTGCCAACATAACTATTGAACCAACATGGTCAATGAAAAAGGTTGAACAGTGCATACAGCAATGAAATCTGGTGTTTGGAGCTGGAGTTGAACCAGCGACCTTTGGACCACAGCGTTTCAGGAACTTCTTACAGTCCTCTGCTCTACCAACTGAGCTATGAAAGTGCTTATAGCCCCACCAGCAGAAAACATAGTGGCTTCGGCGACACACTTTGCCAACAATACAGTTGGACCCACATGGTCAATGAAAAAGGTTGAACAGAGCATAGACCAATGAAATCTGGTGTTTGCAGGTGGAGTTGAACCAGCGACCTTTGGAACACAGCGTTTCAGGAACTTCTTACAGTCCTCTTCTCTACCAACTGAGCTATGAAGGTGCTTATAGACTCAACCGCAGAAAAATTAGTGGCTTCGGCGACACACTCTGACAACACAACAATCAAGCCACCTGGTCAATGAAAAAGGTTGAACAGTGCATACAGCAATGAAATCTGGTGTTTGGAGGTGGAGTTGAACCAGCGACCTTTGGACCACAGCGTTTCAGGAACTTCTTACAGTCCTCTGCTCTACCAACTGAGCTATGAAGGTGCTTATAGAATCAAAAGCAGAAAACATAGTGGCTTCGGCGACACACTTTGCCAACAATACTGTTGGACCCACATGGTCAATGAAAAAGGTTGAACAGAGCATAGACCAATGAAATCTGGTGTTTGGAGGTGGAGTTGAACCAGCGACCTTTGGAACACAGCGTTTCAGGAACTTCTTACAGTCCTCTTCTCTACCAACTGAGCTATGAAGGTGCTTATAGACTCAGCCGCAGAAAAATTAGTGGCTTCAGCGACACACTTTGCCAACAATACTGTTGGATCCACATGGTCAATGAAAAAGGTTGAACAGAGGATACACCAATGAAATCTGGTGTTTGGAGGTGGAGTTGAACCAGCGACCTTTGGAACACAGCGTTTCAGGAACTTCTTACAGTCCTCTGCTCTACCAACTGAGCTATGAAAGTGCTTATAGACACAAACGCAGAAAACATAGTGGCTTCGGCGACACACTCTGCCAACATATCTATTGGACCCACATGGTCAATGAAAAAGGTTGAACAGTGCATAGAGCAATGAAATCTGGTGTTTGGAGCAGGAGTTGAACCAGCGACCTTTGGACAACGTTTTAGGAACTTCTTAAAGTCCTCTGCTCTACCAATTGAGCTATGAAGTTGCTTATAAACACAACCGCAGAAAACATAGTGGCTTCGGCGACACACTTTGCCGACATAACTATTGATCCCACATGGTCAATGAAAAAGGTTGAATATACAAATGATCTGGTGTTTGGAGCTGGAGTTGAACCAGCGACCTTTGGACCACAGCGTTTCAGGAACTTCTTAAAGTCATGGGCTCTACCAACTGAGCTACGAAGGTGCTTATAGATACAAACGCAGAGAACACAGTGGCTTCGGCGACACACTCTGCCAACATAACTATTGGACCCACCTGGTCAATGAAAAAGGTTGAACAGTGCATAGAGCAATGAAATCTGGTGTTTTGAGGTGGAGTTGAACCAGCGACCTTTGGACCACAGCGTTTCAGGAACTTCTTGAAGTAATGTGCTATACCAAGTGAGCTATGAAGGTGCTTATAGATACAAACGCAGAAAACATAGTGGCTTCAGCAACACACTTTGCCAACACAACAATCAAGCCACCTGGTCAATGAAAAAGGTTGAACAGTGCATACACCAATGAAATCTGGTGTTTGGAGCTGGAGTTAAACCAGCGACCTTTGGACCACAGCATTTCAGGAACTTCTTAAAATCAAGTGCTATACCAAGTGAGCTATGAAGGTGCTTATAGATACAAACGCAGAAAACATAGTGGCTTCGGCGACACACTTTGCCGACATAACTATTGATCCCACATGATCAATGAAAAAGGTTGAATAGTGCATACAGCAATGAAATCTGGTGTTTTGAGGAGGAGTTGAACCAGCGACCTTTGGACCACAGCGTTTCAGGAACTTCTTACAGTCCTCTTCTCTACCAACTGAGCAATGAAAGTGCTTACAGACACAAACGCAGAAAACATAGTGGCTTCGGCGACACACTTTGCCAACATAACTATTGAACCAACATGATCAATGAAAAAGGTTGAACAGTGGATACACCAATGAAATCTGGTGTTTGGAGCTGGAGTTGAACCAGCGACCTTTGAACGACAGAGTTTCAGGAACTTCTTATAGTCATGTGCTCTACCAACTGAGCTATGAAGGTGCTCATACACACAACCGCAGAAAACATAGTGGCCTCGGCGACACACTTTGCCGACATAAATATTGATCCCACATGATCAACGAAAAGGTTGAATAGTGCATACAGCAATGAAATCTGGTGTTTTGAGGTGGAGTCTAACCAGCGACCTTTGGACCACAGCGTTTCAGGAACTTCTTACAGTCCTCTGCTCTACCAACTGAGCTATGAAAGTGCTTATAGACACAAACGCAGAAAACACAGTGGCTTCGGCGACACACTCTGCCAACATAACTATTGGACCCACCGGGTCAATGAAAAAGGTTGAACAGTGCATAGAGCAATGAAATCTGGTGTTTTGAGGTGGAGTTGAACCAGCAACCTTTGGACCACAGCGTTTCAGGAACTTCTTAAAGTAATGTGCTATACCAAGTGAGCTATGAAGGTGCTTATAGATACAAACGCAGAAAACATAGTGGCTTCAGCGACACACTTTGCCAACACAACAATCAAGCCACCTGGTCAATGAAAAAGGTTGAACAGTGCATATACCAATGAAATCTGGTCTTTGGAGGTGGAGTTGAACCAGCTACCTTTGGACCACAGGGTTTAAGGAACTTCTTAAAGTCATGGGATCTACCAACTGAGCTATGAAGGTGCTTATAGACACAACCGCAGAAAACATAGTGGCTTCGGCGACACACTTTGCCGACATTACTATTGATCCCACATGATCAATGAAAAAGGTTGAATAGTGCATACAGCAATGAAATCTGGTGTTTTGAGGAGGAGTTGAACCAGCGACCTTTGGACAACAGCGTTTCAGGAACTTCTTAAAATCAAGTGCTCTACCAACTGAGCTATGAAGGTGCTTATAGACACAACTGCAGAAAACATAGTGGCTTCGGCGACACACTTTGCCGACATTACTATTGATCCCACATGATCAATGAAAAAGGTTGAATAGTGCATACAGCAATGAAATCTGGTGTTTTGAGGAGGAGTTGAACCAGCGACCTTTGGACCACAGTGTTTCAGGAACTTCTTACAGTCCTCTGCTCTACCAACTGAGCTATGAGAGTGATTATTGACACAAACGCAGAAAACATAGTGGCTTCGGCGACACACTTTGCCAACAATACAATTGGACCCACATGGTCAATGAAAAAGGTTGAACAGAGCATAGACCAATGGAATCTGGTGTTTGGAGCAGGAGTTGAACCAGGGCCCTTTGGACCACAGCGTTTCAGGAACTTCTTACAGTCCTCTGCTCTACCAACTGAGCTATGAAGGTGCTTATAGACACAAACGCAGAAAACATAGTGGCTTCGGCGACACACTTTGCCAATATAACTATTGAACCAAAATGGTCAATGAAAAAGGTTGAACAGTGCATACACCAATGAAATCTGGTGTTTGGAGCTGGAGTTGAACCAGCGACCTTTGGACCACAGCGTTCCAGGAACTTTTTACAGTCCTCTGGTCTACTAACTGCGCTATGAAAGTGCTTATAGACACAAACGCAGAAAACATAGTGGCTTCGGCGACACACTTTGCCAACACAACTATGGGACCCACTGTAACCAACAGTCATTGCCAAGGACCGATGACTGATAATCAGGACTTTTAGGCTGGGTGAATAAAAAAATTGATGGTTGCAAAATTAAAGAGGGGGCTTTGAGCTGGAGTTGAACCGGCTATGTTAGGATCACAGCCTTTCATATGGGGAACCTCTTGGAGTCCTGCACTCTACCAAATGAGCTATCAAGGTGCTCTCTACACACAAACGCAGAAAACATAGTGGTTGTGACGACATGCTTTGCCCAAACAACTATTGGACCCACATGGTCACTCAAAAGCCTAGTCCTACCTTCAGAAAAGAGCTTCACAGTTTGTACCCAACAGTCATTGCCAAGGACCCATGACTGATAATCAGGACTTTTAGGCTGGGTGAATAAAAAATTGATGGTTGGAAAATTAAAGAGGGGGCTTTAAACTGGCTAGCTTCGGATCACAGCATTTCATATGAGGAACCTCTTACAGTCCTGCTCTCTACCAACTGAGCTATCAAGGTTCTCTCTACACACAAACGCACAAAACATAGTGGTTGTGACGACATGCTTTGCCCAAACAACTATTGGACCCACATGGTCAATCAAAAGCCTAGTCCTACCTTCTGAACAGAGCTTTACAGTTTGTACCCAACAGTCATTGCCAAAGGTCTTGAACTGATAATCAGGACTTTTAGGCTGGGTGAATAAAAAATTGATGGTTGGAAAATTAAAGAGGGGGCTTTGAGCTGGATTTGAACCGGCTAGCTTAGGATCACAGCATTTCATATGAGGAAACTCTTAAAGTCCTGCGCTATACCAACTGAGCTATCAACATGCTCTCTACACACTAATGCAGAAAACATAGTGGTTGTGATGACATGCTTTGCCCAAACATCTATTGGACCCACATGGTCAATCAAAAGCCTAGTCCTACCTTCAGAACAGAGCTTCACAGTTTGGACCCAACAGTCATTGCCAAGGACCCATGACTGATAATCAGGACTTTTAGGCTGGGTGAATAAAAAATTGATGGTTGGAAAATTAAAGAGGGGGCTTTGAGCTGGAGTTTGAACCGGCTACCCTCGGATCACAGGATTTCATATGAGGAACCTCTTACAGTCATGCGCTCTACTTACTGAGCTATCAAGGTGCTCTCTACACACAAACGCAGAAAACATAGTGGTTGTGACGACATGCTTTGCCCAAACAACTATTGGACCCACATTGTCAATCAAAAGCCTAGTCCCACCTTCAGAACAGAGGTTCACAGTTTGTACCCAACAGTCATTGCCAAGGACCCATGACTGATAATCAGGACTTTTAGGCTGGGTGAATAAAAAATTGATGGTTGGAAAATTAAAGAGGGGCTTTGAGCTGGAGTTGAACCGGCTACCTTAGGATCACAGCATTTCATATGAGGAACCTCTTACAGTCCTGCGCTCTACCAACTGAGCTATAGAGCACTACAGCACTACAGCAGGGCCAGCCCAGGGGCCCTCTGACTGACGTCCCCCATAGCCCAGGGGCCCTCTGATGGACATCCCCCGTGGCCCAGGGGCCCTCTGACTGCCACCCCCCCAAAGCCCAGGGGCCCTCTGATTGCCATCCCTGTCCCCCCCGCTCAATTCATATCACCCTTCTCTCTCGGTTCTCTTCAGATATGCCCCATAACAGTGTGAGTAGTCTTAAGATCCTTGAGAATAGAGGCCCTCTGACATCCCAATTGGCAGTGGCATCTACATCGCTTTGCCTCCCCCCGGGCCCCTGGGCGCCTGGGCGCCGGCCCCACTGGCCCTGGATGCCAATATTAAACATGTTCTCAAGTATGGAGTAAAACTGTGATTTAATCATCTGAGTGTACCTCTGAGTAGGGTAGTGTAACCACTATTCATACTGTAATAGGTTTCCATTATTTGACCCAAAGACAGCAGCAAGTATCCACACTGCACAGGCCAGCTGGCTGTTTGCCTTTTTTCTGCCTTTCCAACCTTACATATTAATATTGTTGCTTAAAAGCACAGCCCAGACCTCAGTATGAGGGAATCTTCATGCCCATCTCACATGGGAAGTTGCTGGTTGGGATTTGAGCCAACTCGAAATACTTACAATACTTACATGTCGGTGACTAGATTCATGGATTAGGATCTTGTTCAAATGTGATAACAGATCTAACATTTATTTAATATAACACATCTTATCCAGCTGAACCGCAAAGAGAGCCACTCTCATGGCTCATCCTGAGTTCTTTCCACTATTTGGATTAAATCATTTTTTTTTTCTAGACAAGATGTTGTTAGAGTATTTTTTGTTATTTTTGTTCACACCTGATAGCAAACATTATCTTTTCTAAGGAAAGTTAGATAGTTCAGAAATCCAGCTACCTTTCGTGACAGCTCTCCCACTTTGTGATTTCCTTACACTAATGTTCCTTTCATTTCCCTTTTGGCCAAGAGCTGGCAGTTGTTTCAAGATACTTGATGCTTCTGTTTTATGTTATTAATAGCTGAGTATAAACCTGATAAAAAGAGTTTTGGCTCTAAACATAGTTTTGACATTTCTATTTCAGGGTTGTAAATATTTCTTGGTTGTAGCCCCTTTTCAACCCTGTCCTCATCCTCCATCACCTCTTCCTGGGGTCACCTCTCTACTCTGGGCTGAAAAAAATCAGGGAGTCAGTTTCTTATGTCTCACAGTCGGTGGGCCACATTTTTAATGAGTTTCATCTTTTTTCTTTGCTTATTTGCAAGTTGGCAATACAAGTGCAGGTAGCTCTTCCATCGTCCTCCACAAGATGGCATCCTTACCTGTTCAGTGAAAAGTTAAAGGTTCCAGATGAGGGTTTTTCTATACAGTGGATACTCACTTCTGATTGGCTGGAGGGTTCCCTTTTGATATATGGATACAAAAAACAAAGTGGCTGAGGATGACAGGAGCTGAACATTTTTGGTTGAAATGAAAACAAGGGAGCCTTTTTTTTTGTAACGGAGATGTTTATTTAGACAACCGAATGCATGCCAGAAAGAACTGTGTTACAGCAGCTGTAACTTTCAGCCCTCTCACTTTTCTAACTCTGAGGGAGGGACGCGAATCAGAATACACCAAACTTTGGAGATTTGGTAGAGGACACTATCTGCTCTATGTTATTGCATTGACACATTACTCTTGTATTAAGAGGGCACAGGGAGACAGGGGGGTACCATTGTTGAGTGAACATTGAGGAGTTCGGATCTTAACAGCTTTGGCCAGAGTATTAGGAGTTGTTATTATCACTGTTTTGAGAAAAGGACAGAAGTAATCACACCTTGTTTTAAGGGAACTTTACCTCTCACACAAAACACGTAAAGAGACGATAAAAAAAGATGCACTTACTGTAGGTAGCATTCACATGCAGTATAACGTGTCTTCTCCTTCAGACTACATTTTCTCCACTATTTCTAACAGAGATTCACAGCTAATGTTTTCAGTCTGGGGGATTATTTTACACATAACGGCTACTGAAGGAACAAAGACATGTCAGATGGATTTGGGAGAAAGGAAAACACGAAGAAAAGGATGTTATGAGACAAAATTGTGCTTATCATTATCGGGATTCAGTTAGTGACTCAAACCCCTGTACTTGTTGTCAAACCTTTTATCCCCAAAAAGGGATCCCTCGGTGTAAATTCAGCCGCTTGGTCCAACAAAATCTTCCCAGTTGCTGTTGCCGTTGTTTCTCCAATATATTGATGAGCCAAAAATACCATAATATCAAAAATAAATGCAACCCTTTCACAAAACAATGAGCAATAAATAATAATCAAGTGGTGTCCTTGTACTGTATATGTACTGTATATACACAGAGAGTTAAGTTTGTTGTATATATGTACACAAAACAAGTGTCAGTCTCTTTCAGACTGGCGTTTTAGCATAGCCGACGACTGGAACTCTTGTCCAGACTCAATAAATCCCAGAATAGGCAACAACAAAATAACTTACACAGAATCCTGGAGAGCAGAAGGGATAATGCACAACGAGACTACTGTGATGCTTGTACTTTTTTGCCCCCGAAACAGAAGCACGTGTCTGGAAAGGAAAGTAAATATAAAATAAAAGTGTAAGGTTTTTAATTCTTTTTAAAGGTAGGGTGTAAAAAAAGCCTCTAGAATTCGATAAAATAACTAGCTTATTAAAACATTGACTGACGACAACATGCACGATGCTCTCGGTGCAGAGCGTCCTCTGCAGATTCTGCATGTTATAATGCTTCTCTTTGTTTTGACATGGTGAATAGCGACCCGACCCTTCTCTTGATTCCGGGTGCTGTTGTCTCTCTTGAATTGAAAGTCTTTTCTCCTTCAAAATAAGAGTTTTTTTTTTTTTTTAATCCATTCCAGGAACACTTTCTTGCAGTTTACATGCTCAGGTCAGCAGGTCCTGCTCCTATAAACGTCTGCGTGTCTATCAACTGTCCTTTCAGCGTCTCAAGTCTGTCTGCTCACCAACAAACACCTCACTAAACACTGTAGATCCAGTCTTATTTTAGTAGCTTATGTACAGGAGGTTGAAGTGTCTGCTAGTCAGTATCCCAGGCAACCAGCTACATCCTCACACATTTACAGCGTGTGTTCCAGTTTGCATGATCTTCACAGGTTATGTCTGTCTGTGTTTGACTTTTCCAATTGTTCCTACGTGAGTTCACAGATTTCTACATTTGAGTGTTGCATTTACTGATTTGTTGTTCTGCTGTAACACAAACTACAGAGTGTGCTTGTGTGTGTATGCATGGATGAGTTGATTTGTGCTTGTGTGTACATGTGCATCTTTGTGCTTTTCCTCAAACGCTTCGCGGGGGTCTTTGGAGCTCGTGGGTCCTCCTGTTGCGTCCCTTCTTGTTTTCCTGCATCCGTCTCCACTTAGCTGCGTGCTGGCTGCTCGCTCTAGCCCCGCCTGCGCTTCCTTGAGGGCCTGCGGCGCCGGTCTGCCCCTTTTGGCCGTTTTGTGTCTTCTGGTTGTTCTTGGGCGTCTGGCTGCTCAGCATACCCAGGTTTGGTTGAGCTTTCTGGGCGTTCTGGCTCCGTGTTGGCTCTTCCACTGCTGGACCTCCAGCCTGGAGCCACGGTTTGCTCTGTGGGGGACTTAGTTGCTGCTTCTGGGTATTTGGAGCCAACGCTTTAGGCCGTAAAGCAGCATTTGACCCGCCGTTGTTTTCAGCTTTACCCTGACCGTTACCATTAGGCGGCTTCATCTTCTTCTGCTTGCGCTCCTTCTTCCAAACTCGATCGCAGAACTCCTCCACACTGTTGAGGTCTGGGTGGTCCAGGAGGGACAGGAAGTCTCGATACCACAGACGGTGCTTGGCTGTGTGGCCGACCCCGCCTCCTGCTCCAGGAAGTCCAGGTAGGATGTCTCCCAGCTTTTGGGAGGGGATGACCTGAAGGTTGAGACGCAGCAGAGGCTGGATGAAGCCGTGCTCGACGGCCTGGCAGTGGTAGATGCCAGTGTCAGACTGAGTCAGACTCCGGATGAGAAGACCCTGATCTGTACGAAGAATCCGGTCATCCAGCTTGATCTGGAAAAGAAAGAGAACGACATCAAAAATTAAGAAGCATCAACAGCTTCTTCATTCATACTTTACATTAACTTTTTTCTGCACTTTCAGCATTGTGTACTTCCACACAGTATGAATACTTCCCCGCAAACTGCAGGATTTCAGGGAGTAAAATACATCCACCAAGAGAACTCCACTCACCTCATGCCTGCGGTCGTCGTTGGGCTTCTGCAGCTGCCAGTAAATCAGTGCTCTCTGAGACTTGGGGCTGCACTCCAGGAACATGCTGCTGTTCTCCACGCCGTACACGCTCCTGTCCTCCACGCTGCCGCCGCCTAAACCGTCCATGTCTTCTACTCAAAACCAAAACAAGAGGGAGAGTGAGCAGTGGGGCCAAGAAGACAAGAAGAAACGTAGGTGTGTGAGTTTAGTCTTTAGAGGTACCATGATGCTGAAGGTCTGAGCACTGGGAGAGAGGGTCTCCATTTCTGATGTCCTGTCGTCTGGTTCGCCTGTGGGGGGAAAAACACATGAAAGTTACAGTTTAGTTCCCTGTACTGTTTATATCCAACCACTAGGGGGCAATGTTGCCTTATACTAATTCACAGACAGCTTCACTGACATTTCAGACCTAGAAAGCGTATATTTATTCAACCTTCACTCCACTGTTTAACAAGAGAAAAAAAACCCTGGCAGATTGTAAGAAACATAAACCTGCGGAGCAATGAAACAGCTCGCTTCATCGCCTTCTGATGAGCCGTGATAATGAAACATGTACTGTATTGTTTCACCCTTGAAACACCTTGTAAAACAGCCTCATTCTTTGTCCTCTGGATGTTGAAGTGTGCCGTTTTTCGGCTTTTTTCAGATCGATGGAGAGGTGTTTCATCGCAGGGTTTTACTGTGAAAGTGTCCCCCTGCCATGTCGCATTATCAAAGTCGCTGATGAGTGCAGGAAAATCAGAGCAGAGGTGAGCCAAAGGTGAGAGGATGAAGCAGGGAGAGGAAAAGCAAACACGGATAGAATATTGAGTTTGTGAAATCTTGTTTGAGGTTGAAGTCGCCCCTGTCTTGTTTCAAACAGATTTTGATGCTCGTCTCTCTGTCTCCCATCCTGCCAGCATTCCTGTCTCTTTTGGCCGTCTGAGCACGTGCACGGCCGGCTGTCTGCCTCTCACTCCGGTAGGAAAAATATTTGCAGAGTGAAGGAGAGCCGGCCTTAACCACGGGGCGTGCCACCTTCTCTGTAACCCCGCCAAGCAGGAGTAAAAACCCACTGGCCTACTTCTGCTGGTGTGAGAAGTTCTGGATGAATGGGATGTGTGTATATGTGTGTGTCTGTGTGTGTGAAGGCTGCGGTGGTCAGCTTAATCCCACTGGATCCAGAAGAGGGTAATTTGAGGGTGTGTATGTTCATACCTCCTGGCTGCGGGGTGAAGCGGTCAGACGGCTCCTGTTGGCTGTAATTTAGTGTGTGTGTTCATGTGGAGATGTATATTCACGTGTGCGTCTTTATGAGTGTGTGCATCTTGGCAGTTTGGTCACAGATCACAACTCAGAACAACTGTTGCTGGCGGAGGTTCGAGCCCAGGTTGCTGGTTTGTAGCTCTTGGATTGCACACTCAGCCCGTGTGAGCGTTTTTAATGAGCGTGTTTGGTGTTTTTGTAATAATCCCACTCTAGATTACTTCCATGTTTAGATGTGTTGGCATGCACCGTGTGCTCCTCGTGTGTGTTTTGCACCTTCACAGCCTTCTCTAATGGGCTAGTGGAGGTCTGAAGTTAGAGAAACAAGGCTGTGAAATCCAGTTGCAACTGCAGGTGCACTGCTAACTCCCAGGTGTAAGAGGAGAATGCTGCTGAGGAGACGTGTGCAGTCTTGGAAAATCCCCCCAGGATAAACAAAGGTCAGAGATCTCTCTGGTTTGTGCTCCTACCTCTTGGCGGTTGGAAAGTATCTGGAGCACTCGGTGCCGTCCCACGCACAGTAAGGGTCTCTGGCCAGGCAGCACTCGGCGCAAGCTTTCCCATACACCTCACACCGATGCAGAGACATCTGCGATACGCCCAGAGCCGAGCCAAGGTACAGCTGTTGCTGTGGGAGCGAAAGAAAAGAGAAAGGATGTAAAAATTTAATGTTCCTGCGTGGCTCTGCTGGAAAGACTCTCATTAAAGAGAGTTTTCTTGTGGGTTTGGTCCTCTGTAGGCAATTACATATCTTTGTTTTTGGATATTTGTGTTGACTCAAGGGCCCGGGAGTTCTCGTTTTTTGTGATGTAGCCCTGTCAGCAGCTATTTTAGAGAATTATTATGTATGCAGGCGAGTTTTTACCTGCTTGGTGGACAGCTCCATAGCGGTGATGGGAGTCGGCTCCTGCACAAAACAAATACAGAGCAGCTGTTTTAATACCACGGCTGAAGTCATGTGTTTTTATAAAAGGCATTAAAGCTGCAGAAGGAGCTGTTGACACATCAGTTTTGACGTCTTACCCTAAAGACAGTCATCTCCTCCAGCACCACCTCCTCCAGGTCGTGCCAGCTCTCTCTGGGGATCATCACCACCTTCAGCACCGTGCCCATGTCTGAAAGAAATCAGATACTCAGATATTTCTCACGCATAGAGCCGCCCAGGTAAAACCCTGTCCATTTTACAGTTTTCTTCTTTTGATCTGGGAGAGATCAACATCTGCAATCTATGATCTAGACGATTCATCTTCCCCTTCTGCTCCTCACATCTGATAACCTGCAGTGTCTGACATATGCTCAGCAGGTGATAACATAGATGAACCCTCTCATACCGCTCTTATAAAAGTTATTGTGTTCTATCTTACTTTTGGATCGTTGCAAATCGCTACGTGTTTAAAAAGCCTCACGCACACATGGATCACCAGCTGCAATGATGTAATATCAAGTGGAACATTACAAAGTGTGAGCCGTGCTGTTTGGGCATCTTTGCAAAACCTGCTGCTGCTGCTGATGAATATTGTCAAAAGATCAGACAAATACAGAAAAGAGGAACAGTGGGAGGTAGGGTGGGCCGAGCTGCAGGGTGTATGAGAGGGGAGGTGATGAGGCGCACAAATCAAAGTTGTTTATGCATTAAAACTAAGAAGACTTTGAGAACAAAGCTCAAACACTGAGTTTGTAAAACCATGCAAAAAAGATGAATTTGCCAAATTCTATGTCTTTCTTTAGGCGGATCCATCCTGCAAAGCTTCGAGATGACACACTCGTTCAGGAGTGTGGGGAGAAAGAGGCTGAAGGGTGTTGAGTTGTGCCAACTACAAGCCTTTAAAGACCCACTCTGATGAAAAAACATGTTTTTCTTGTTTGTTTCATATGTTCAAATGACATTTTTCTGATGCTACAGGACATATCATGAGAAAACTAAATGTAAAATTGCTTTTCTGAGTATTTCTTCAAATGTACTGTTAGTGCATTGTTAGTCTTGTCTTATATTTGGACAAGGCAAGCGCTACAATAACTTTTGTAGATGTAGCCATCTTGTTTCCACCTCCGATTTTGCTTTCTTCCAACTTGGTAACTGAAACGCTGGTAACTCTGGTGTGACGTCATTCCCAGCTCAGACATCTGACTTCCGAGGTAACTCGAACGCAGCATTTGATTCGTTCAGAATTGATGTTGATGAGGATAAAAAGCTGATGACAGAGTTGAAATGTGGAGTTGTGTACCTGTCCCGATGAACATGACGTCATACTGGCCGTCCTCTGCCTCCACCCTGTCCACCACCAACTGGGAGAACTGGTAGTCCACGTCTGTCCTCACCATGATGGGACGCCCACCTATTGGGTGCACTGGGTTAAACATCGCCGGGTGACCCCTGGCGAAGGTGATGACATCATCGGGGAGGTCTTTGGTGGAGTCGAACCCTCCGAAAGTCTTACTCGGACACTGAGAATCAGATCAGGATACATAAGTGTTGAGAGTGTAAAGTTCATCTTCCTTGTTTTTATATAAAGTTTTCTGTGTTTGACTCACAGTTCCAGGGCGAGGGTAGGGCACCCTCCCTTGGAAAGGCACCCACTGGTAGTTGGGTCCATCTCTGTGGGCGTAGGGACCCAGGAAAACCCTCCTGATATCAGCCATGTTGTACATACACACTGCTGAGCCTTTAAAGATGTTACTGTGGAGAAAAAAAAACACAAAGAGAGGAAGTGAGAGATGAAAAAAGAGAAGAGATTTCAAGGATAGGGGGAGAGAGAGAGAGCGGTGAAATAAGACGACAAAGAAAAACAGAGAGGATTCATAAACGATCAGTCAGAAGACGGGGATTAAGAGCCTGTGAAATACTGAAGAAAGACAACAAAATGACCCTTCATCGCACAAAGACAGAGGGGAGCAGGGCTGTCATTACCTAAGTACAGGACTGACAGATTGGAACTTCGCTGTGATTGCTTCCAGCCTCTTGAGAACAGACAGGAATGTGGGCACGCCACCAACAAACCAGGAGACCTGGACCTGAAGCATTTTTGAAATCCCCTGCAATATTTTGCGAGCATTTGCTGGAGCCAGATGGGTGTGTTTTTTTTTTTTTAGCCAAACAAGCTCCAAAGTAGGGAAGGGCGATCGATTTGTGGAAAAAAGGGGAAACAATGTGGATTATATCTAAATTCAGGCTGGATCCTGGGTCATCCAGAGAACAGGGATTGGAGCTGTGACTCATGAAAGTGGAGACATTGGGACTTTTCGCTGGAATCTTCAAATATATACAACCTGAAAGTAACCTGGCTGCTGCAGTAACTTTAAGAGCCTCTATACAGAGTATTTACTTTATGCGCTGTAATTATACACTTGTGAGCAATTTGTTAGAAAAATCATCTTTTCATCAGCTTTTGTCACTTTCCACAGATGACAGCTTTTAATTTGGACAGAAAATCTCTTGCGTTTGCAGGAACCGAACGCTTCAGTAAGATTCGGGCCGCCCTTTGTGTCTTGCGAACTGCAATGGGAAGTTGTATCGGGCTAATTAGTGATGTGGTGGGCACGCACACAGCCGGCAGTACCCACCAAAGCGCGGAAGATGAATGGATTAGCATTTGAAAATGTTAATTACAGAGAAATTCAATTAACTCCAGGGGCGAGAGAAGGAAGACGCTCCGATATCTGAGCAAGAGAAGGAGGGCGAACATGTGTTTGCGCAGATAGAGGACGGACGCTCAAATTCTGTCACCCCCCATAGGAATGCTTGGACACACAAACAGGGGCACAATCCTGCATTGATCTGTCAGTACCAGCGTCTTTGTGCCTCATTAGGCAGTGATATTAAAAGCCGGTCCCTCAGCAAATCTGCTCTATTCATCTCTAAAAACCGGCCACTTAGAAAACCAATTAAAGCTCTCTAATTCCTCAATGCCCTGTAATTGAATTTTGCAGCCTGCATGTGTGTTTGTGTGTCAGTCTGGGCACATGTGAGTGCGTAGGTGTGCGCCCACCTCCACGCCGCAACCCCTTGCTTTGAATGCACCCTCAGCTCGCGTCGCTCTTCTATTCAGGCGGTCTTATCATCAGCGGTGATTGATTGTGAAGTGTTTGTCCTCCTTTCAAAGTGTTTCCGAGCCACAACTGGACAGAAAACACCCCCCTCCTCCTTCCTTAAATGCATATTCATCATCATCATCATGATAAGTGCCACCATCTGTGCCATTTCAACCATGCCTTCACCTCTCACATGCTTCAATAGAGCCACACCCGCCCTCTGGGAAAATAAAAAAAAGCCCCATTCAAGGCTGGGGCGGCGGCCAGCGGGAGAGACAAGCGTTCCTGCTGAGTGAATATCGTGTTTCTCCTGCTCCCTCCTGCTCCATAATCTGATTTCCACGCAATCCTCTTCCAAGGTTTCAATGGAAAAAATAAAAAAGTGGAGAGGGGGGGACAGGTAGTGGGGAAAACAGCAGAATCGGCTGAAAAGCAATCTTCAATCTGGGAGATGTCGGCAGGGGGGGAAAGCAGCCGTAAGACACCTGTAAGTGGATTACGGGACGGGGAGCGCTGTCTGGGAATTTGACAGGGCCACGCTTAGCTGCTCGCATCCTGCAATGCCTCTTAAACGTTAAGGAAATTACAGATAAAGGGAGTAAGTAAGGGATGTGAAAGGGAAGGGATCTTGAAAGGAAATATGAAGCGTGTGTGTTTTTCAAATACAGAGGAAATAACTTGTCCAGGATGGCTGCTCTGATCTCCTGGCCATAAATCCACAGAACAAATATAATACAACCAGCGTCTGTCAAGCTATTTAAGAATGTGAGAGCACATTTTTGGGGGGTTTTCATGAAAGGATGCGGACTGATCAGTACCTGGATGTGGTGAATACTGCGTAGATAACTGGATTCTTCGGGTCCTTGGAGCTCATGAGAAATACATCCTCTGAAAATACAACACAAGAGCAGGTGAAGGCGAGGTTTTACAAAGTGTTTGAATGAGTTATGACAAGGTTTCTTCCCACACAAGATTAAATACAACACTTACGCAGCTCGTCAAAGTGTGTATCTATGCCGTTGACCCCAGGTACTGAGCACATCAGGCGGGCCTTGAGGAAAGTGGTCCACTTGTTCACCAGACTCCTATGACCTCCCATGTCGTTCTGTATTATTAACACACAAACAACTCAATGTAACTGCAGCTGTGACATCAAGCATGTAGTTAATCTTAGGGATGCATAATATACCTCATCGTGATAAATGATCAGAAAGACATGAGAATATTTTAGCATTATTTGTTGTTTTGAACATTTTTTAAATCTTCTATGAGGAACTTTCTGTCCGTGTTGACTTTGGCGCCCCCTGTGGACAAAGTGGGAACCCTTATATTATTATATAGAAGGTTTACCACTATCATATCTTGTGGAATTAACAGATTAAAAAATCTCCTCCTGTTGCCTTTTTAAGTTATTTTAAAGTTTCGCACACTGTTTGTCCACTTCTGACCAATCAGATTTCGTGTTGTTGCGACGTCAGATTCACCGGTATATCCAACATGGCCGACCGCCTGATTGTTTATGTGTCAAAGAACAGATTGATTTTTTTTTATAAAAACACAATTATTAGAAAGATAACGACCTGAAAGACAACTTGTGGAGAGTCATAGTGTCGATGTGACGATGGTTTGTGTGCTTTAACAGTTTGCTAAACGTCTTTGTTTTAACTTTCATCTGTGCTTAGTAACTTGAGCTCGTAAGCTAACCTGTTCAGATACAACATACCATATGTATTTTCACTGTCTCAAACTCAATCACATTGCTGTCACAGCACCATTAGGTCTCAGGTGTTCCCTTACGTTTATGGATTACAGTTTAATGTGCTTATCTGGTACTGGCCCCAACTCAGTACATGCTATCATGACAGACAGACATCTCAACACTAGTGTCTAATGAGAACTGAAAAACAGTCAGTCTGCTGTTGTGTCAGTCTGTGTCAGTCGGAAAGTCACAAAATCGCATTGCGCCTGATGTGTATAGTCAGGCGCGTCGGAATTAGCCTCTGAATATTTTGTAATTTCGTATATTTGCGTCGTTCCGGTGTGTAAGGACCTTTAAACGTCAGAAAAACAAAACTGTGCCATTATTTTTGTTTGTTTTGTGTGTTGTTACCTTACACAGTTGTCCTATCCGGGCGATGGTGGCCTTGCCAGTGTGCTCTCCATCCATGGCGTTCTCCTTGAAAAACAGGAAGAGCTTGTCGTCTTCGGGGTTGTCGCTTTCTGGGATCAAGCTTATCCCTACAAACCTGGGGTCTAGGGAAAAAAACACAAACAAAGCAGAAAACAACATGCACACTGATGAGTTTACATTTCGATGTTTATTTCCATAAAAAATAAATCTTGCAAGCTCGAGCTCCTGCCCTGACGACCATCCTCTCACCCGACTTTACACCTCCGAAACCAATCCCCTGTGATACTCTCCAGTCACGGCTCAGTAATAACAGCCATTCACTTTACACCCTTGTGTCACAGTATCTGACTCTACCCAAAGTGAGCACTCCAAGTCCAAATCCCCCATAACCCCCATCTTTAGACCACATCCTCACAAACACACATGGCTCTGATTGTCTGGGGTAACACTTGAATAAATGTATCTAGACTTTAAGCGCAGGAGGAAGTCAAAGTCAGACGGGGCGAGTCGAGGCCTAAGGCTTTGGGATATACTGTATCTGGACTTGAAGGGGGAACGGGGACCGAGGAAAAGTGGCCACGGTCACTGAGGCGTCATCACGTGTAAAATGAGCCTGGGTCTAAAGAGCTCGGGGAGTTAGCTGGAGAGAAACAAGCAGTGCCATGTTACGCCTCCATGGACGTTAAGGGTATAGAGTAGCTGTGAAAAGATGAGTGTGGCCTAAGTGGGGAGCAGATTTATAAGCGCTTTACAAGTCCGGGACCTCTGGTACAAATCATGTTTGTCCCAATACCTTAACAGTGCTTAAATTCACACATTTGTAAATGTAACGGGATAGCTGCAGGCTTCTGCTGGTGTCACATATAACCGAGTCTGGAGAATTCATTTTCTTTAATTCCCAACAAAAGGACAATTTACTTAGGAGAGATTTAATCCAAGAACACTTTCAGCTGAGAGGGCATTAAAGAGTGAAGATCTGCAAATAAATAGCAAGAATTGGAGCCCAGAAAACCCAAAGCCACCATTTAACCCTAAATCCTTTCAAAGCGACTGCTATTAAGGATTCATTTCCAAGTTTCTCTCTGAGTGCCATGTAACCTTGTTGATAAAGCCCCAATAGAATATCCCCCATCCCCGTAATCCAAGCAATTACAATCCCTTCTTTGTGGTGAAGGAGCTGGATTTTGCGGGGCCCCGATGGATACAATCCCCGGTGCATTTGTTTGAACAAGGTGAAAGATCGATGGGGATTAGCGCGCTAACAATGACTCCTCCTTTTTAAATCGCTCTTTATTAATATGTCACAGTAATCAGCGCCACAGAGGACTTTGTTTGCGAATTTTGATGGTGCTTGGGAAGAAGGGAAGTGGGAGAAATCTGACTCCACTACAGGAAAACAGCTGAGAGCGGATTAGTTCTGTGGGAAAGAGGGGGGAAAAGGGATGGCACAGCTCGAGGGAAAGGTTCAAACCGACCTTTTGTGGCTCCCTGAGTCCTCCGCGGTGCCGACAGATAGCCAGACAGACGGAACGGTCAATAACTGGCACTGGCGCGCTAATCTTACTCGCACAGGCAAATCCAGTGAGTTTATGAATGGGCTGTGATATCTGATGTCTGAATGGGAATAAGTAGAGACTTGAAGCTTGTGGGAGAATTAAATGCTTCAGTGGCTGTTATCGTTTCCTCCAAACGCAACAATGACAAGAGTTTACCTTCTCTATTGTGCTGGAAAGCTGAGGTTAATGTAGGCCATAGAATCTAATTTTACATGAAGTTTGGAGGTTTGGAAATGTATGTTATCTGGCTTTTGCAGTCTGAACACTTTATACTTTCACTGTTTACTATAGATGCAACTTTCCACTGAAAAAAAAACACAGAAACGCCACAGATTTGAATAAAAAATGATAAAAGAAAAAAACCTGAAAATACCCAATGCCCCAAATCAGATTTAAACGGACTGCAAATCATTTGAATCCCATACTTGAATAAAAATAGTGCAAATTCATTTAAAATGTTTACTGAGAAATACAGGCTCATTTGAATTTTGGTGCCAGTAACATACTTCAGAGTAATTCTGGGACAACAGAGACAACAAAACACTGAAAAGAATGTGTTTATGTGTAATGTCTTGTAAAATAGGTTCCATATGTGTTGTGTAATGCCTAAAGACTCCTGAAGGGTCATTTCTCTAGTAATGAGGTGAATTTAACACAAGTCTGGGTGTAAACGGGACACTCCAGGGAGGCTAAGTAGATTATATCATCAAAAAAGTTAGAGAATCTGGAGACACTTCTGCACAAGCCAAAAAATCAACACTAGATTTGATCTTTGATCCGAGCTTTGATCTTTTGGACTCTGTAGTTGAAATCACTGCATAGGAATAGAGAGATGCAAAAGCAAGTTGATCTATGCAAAGAGGAAACTATATAAACACGATCCAGAAACGCCAGCACAAATCCATTTAAGATGCACCACAGAGAAGCGAAAAACTGCTGTGTGGTTCAACAGATCCAAATTTGATGTGGATGCACAAGGATGCAGATAGGTATCTGGGGAGGTTACATAAATACTGAACTATGTTAAGAGGTTTGGAGTAATATATGCTGCCATCCAGACAGTGCCATTTTCAGGTAACACCTTACATATTTCAGCAGGACACTGCCAAACTCTGCCACGTATTACAACAGTGCGGCTCTGCAGTTGAACAGTTCTGAGTCCTGATTTGTCCCCTGTGAAAACATTTGAAATAAAAAATACAACATGGGCCGCTCAGATCCTTTTATCAAGCGGGAGTGGGGAACATTCTACTTTTAAGACTCCAGAAACCAGTTGGCTTTCAGTATTTTTTGCCCAACTATAATTGAGAATAGAGTTGAAACGATTTTCAAGACCATCAAATCAAATTTTCATTAACATTTTACAAAGGGTCCCAACGCTTCGGTAAGATACTTAATACAACTTCTAACACCCAGAAAGAATCCAGAAACTTTAGTATTATTGACAAAGTGAAAAGTCCTTCCTATGAGAGTGACATGGTGCGAATAAGAAACTTTTTATTCTTATTTTATTTTTACCATTCAGCCATCTTGAATCATGCTGCTCTGTTCTGATTGGATGATGGTCTCCCAGGGTACGGAAAATAGCAAAGTCCCTCCCCATGAAGTCAGCAGATGTGCCAGAGTACAGTTCTCCATCTGTAAGTGAAGAAGAGCTGAGTTAGGAACGAACCATCAGCTCTAGGCTAAGTGCGTGCGTCATCGCTGAGATCAAACTCACCGATCAGAAGTGAGGCTGAGAGCATTTTGGGATCGTAGGGGCTTTTCCCGCGACCGTTCTCGAAATGCGAGGCCAGTCGGAAGATGTTGTCCTGTGGTGGGAAGGGTCAGAGTTCAGAGAGAGGTCAGAGACAGCCAAGTTGACCCTGGCTGGAGGTACATTTATAGCCTGTTTCAAATTACACCAAATTCTCATTATAGCGCTGCACATGGAGGAAAACGTCTGGCCCCATAAGAATAAAACAATGTTTTTACATGGCTGACTTGTTCTGCTTTGGTCATGGACCAATAATAGTATCTGTATCTATGCAACGAAATGGAAAAATAGTGAATAATTAGGTAAAAGAGAGTGAGTAGTCAAAGTCACTTGATCATATTTCAAAGAAAAGCCACACAGAAAGAAAACTCACTTAGTTTCTTTAAATAAATCACTGAAAAAAAAACAACTTTCACTTCCAGTGAGCTCATGCAGGGCCCTCTATGCTGAAACCTGCATGAGGCAAACAGTCAATCCTCTCCCCATTGTTGGACAAGAAGAACCCACACTGGTCCATTGATTAACCTGTAGGCCTTCTCAGGATGACTGATTAAACTTTCATGTAGAGGGAGAGGTTGTTCAATTTCCGCCTTGCTGTGTAGTGACAACTTTTTTTCCGCTTCTTTACACAAAAGAAAACATTGATGGGAGGATAATCAATGAAGGGAATGACTACTGCTGTGCTTGGCAGAAAAATGTGCGAGTGGGTGGCTGTAAGAGCAGGCAGTGTGGATGCCGTGCAAACTACTGGACTACTCTTGTTAGTTAAGGTGTCAGGTTACATGGCTTGTTAATTAAACCTCTGTTGAGATTTAAACCACCTTCTGCATATATAACCGATTAAACCTGTAGAAAAACAACAACATTTATGAACCCACTGTATTACCTCCGCCCTCTTGCCCATTTCCAGAAAAGAACAGATTGGGTGGAAGGCTCCTGTGCCACAGATGTAGAGGTGTGTCTGGTTGTAAGGTTGGAGGACCCGGATGAAGTTATTACACTCTCTCTGTAAAAAGAAATAAGTGACAGCACATTTAAACGTCACACAATGCAAAGCCTTATACATTAAACATGCACATGGTAAGGAGATTAAATACCTACATTGTATGAAATACAGTCTCTGTTTGTGTAGTAATTCTATCAAGGTTATATGGCCGTATAAAGTATTCAAAACTTGGGGGACTTTTCTAAAATAGGTTGCATATGTTAGCTTTAACTTGCAAAACGGCCAGCTCCCTCCCCCATATCATGAAGTTTGAATTAAGCCTGATCCTTTATGAAAATAACATCGACCTGGTTTGATTGAAAATAAAGACGAACAGAAAGCAGAGAATAATAGAGAAGAGGGGAAGGCTCTCCTTTAAAGCAGGGGCTTTCCAGTTGGTTTGCTGGAGACTGAAAGAAAGAAACTGAGTCTCCTTCAAGGAAATCCCACCTGTAAATCAAATCAGGCAATACCCCCAATCTTTAATGATCCATATGTTTGAATTTACCGAGGTTATTTGGGTTGGCCCTGCAGCACATGCTGATAGTCCCAGTGGTGTGAGACTGTTTATTAGAGTGCTAATCAACAGGATTGGTTAATGCAGGAGGCTTGTTAGCGGCCTTGAGGAGCTGATTTGGGCACATGTGTTTAAGAGATTAGCCTTGGGTTGTGCCTTATTATAAATACATGCCGAATATTGGCCTATCAACAAGCGCAGATTTGCTCTGGGATTTAAAAACACAGCGCACATACGTCAAATCACATACACACGAGCGACTCATCTTTCTTTCTTCCTCACTTTAACACGTGTATCTCTCCAGGCCTTTAAATCTCACTGACATTTCAGTCTGGTGATTTGACGATGTCCCACATATGAGACATAAATGAGAACAAGGCTTCACTGTCTTCAAGTTTGAGCGATGACATTTTCCAGAGCAACACCAAATTGACTCTGGGATCACACGCTGCAAGCCTTTTCCAAAAAACACTATTTCACTCCATTATTCAAAATGGCAGAAAGTCATGTCTAAGCTCTGACTCTTTCACCTCTCTGGTAATCTGCTTAAAAGAATGGCAGGACTTTTTTGGAGAAGTGTGCTGAGTCATTTCTTTGCAGAGAAATCTTGTATGAGAAGTTATCTGTAAGTTCACTCAAAGCAGGATTAAGTAGCCTGTTAGTTTAGCTCAGCATAAAGGACCAAATAGGCAGGCTCATCCAGAGGTAACAAAATCTACCTCCAAGCAAAAAACAGGACTTATCATGTCCACTAGTCACTCTTCTTAACTGCAGTGTAAAAGCGGGTAAATCTTAATGTAAACATGTCTCAAAAACATGATTTAAGGAAAGGCAGATCACTTCAAATGGCCAACAAACAGTCCTGATACCTAGACCTCCTACAAACAAGCAAATGTCCCTTTTGTGCTTCTTTTTTTATACTGTATGTAATAAAGAAAAGATGAAGAGGGTAGGGTTACTTTTGGACTGTTCCCCTCAGTTCCAGTCTCTGTGCTAAGCCATGCTTACTAACAACCAGCTGGTCCTTGGACTGGTATTCACCCTCTCAACTCCCAAGGAAAAATATAAATGTGAAAAATAGCTCAACGTGTATTTCAAAGTCAGGGCAGGTCACTGCACCCTGCCAACAAAAAGTCCTGCCACATGAACCTCCTTGAAACCTGGAATTGATTTTTCCATGCTCTGATGAGATAACAACAGTAAAAAAAATACAGGCAAATGGAAATAACCGGTTAGTGTAACACTTTAAAGTAAATATCTGTTATAACTAGTTTATAGATCATTAGTAAACTGTTAATTAATGAGTTATTAATGACTTGTTAACTGTTAATTCACAGTTTAAGGATTTATAATGATGCCTTATAGATAGTTAATATATCATTAACAAACTGTTAGTTAATGAGTTATAAATGACTTGTTAACTGTATGTTAATGCTTTATAACTATACCTAATAAATTAGACATAGAACATGAATAAGCTATTAGTAAATTACATACCAATAACTTGTTAAGTATCAGTTAATAGTTCATATGTGTTATTGGGATGTTATTCTATAAAGCTGCAACTATTCCTCATTTACTAACAGTTAATAAATGAGGAATAGAAATAAGAGGTAAGGGTAACACTTAATCATAACTATCAGTTATAACCACTTTACAGATTATTAGTAAACTGTTAATTAATGAGTTATAAATGACTTGTTTACTGTATGTTATTGCTTTATAACAATACCTTATAAATTAGCAATAGACCATGAACAAGTTGCAACTATTCCTCATGTACTAACAGTTAATAAATGGGGAATAGTTGCAACCTTAGAATAACGTCCCAATTACATATTTAAACTATTAACTGATACTCAACAAGTTTAGTAAGTAATTTACTTAAAGCTTGTTCATGATCTATTACTAATTTATAAGGAATCCTTATAAAGCATTACCATACAATTAACAAGTCATTTATAACTCATTAAATAACAGTGTACTAATGATATATTAACTATTTATAAGGCATCATTATAAATCCTTAACAAACTGTTAAAAACACTTAACAGGTCAGTAATAACTCAGTAATTAACAGTTTACTAATGATCAATTAACTAGTTATAATTGATAGTTATTATAAAGTCTTACCGAGGCAAGCTGTTTGCCCCTGTTTTTAACCCTTAAATCTTGGCTATGCTCAGCAGCTCAAACTGAATGCAAGGATTTGGAAGTAGAAACTTTCTTCTTATCTAACTCTCAACAAAAAAATGTTAATACAACCTAATCAGACGAGCAACAAGTTCCGACTCTCTGATTTTTATTTGTTTCCAGCAAACTCTTTACTATGTTCCCTCCTCATACTGTACTGAAGTCTTTCCATCATAGACCATATAATAACTGGATATATGGTCAGTGACAAAACTCCTCTGTTTCTGGAGTAGAGTTTTGAACCCTATCGGTGGCATTTGCCATTTTGATAATACTGACTCAACCGAACTTCTGGTCTAACAGTAGTTCACAATCCCGATATTGTATATACTGTCCGCTTATTTAAGCCACAGGATCTTGGCGCTCACAGAGGAAGCCTGGACTTCAAGAAGTCTTGTAGTTGACCTCAACCTGCGGATCACGTGCCTTTGAGACTGCGTAGCTTAATGACTTTCCCCTCTGTGTTTCTTCCTGTTGAACAGCAGGGGCACTTGTCCCCCCACATCACTCTCACGCTCTTATTATACGCATTTCACCAACTCCTTTAATCCCCTCTTACCCTGATGTCAGCTCTGTTTACAATTTTACATGGCTGTCTTCGAGTTGGAGTCATTAGCTATGTGGTAGGTAGGCTGCACCTAAACACTGACGGACGTTAGTTATGCACGTCCCTCAAACATGTGGCTTTGCCTTGCCTCCAGGTGAATAATGGTCTCCCTGATCACAAACCATGTCATTATGTGAAAACCCCAACACCCGCTGAGGACAAATGAGTCATTATTGGATCAAATAGAGACTCTCTTTGGGCTGGCTATTGCTGATGGCTTTCCATTTGGAAAATGAGTTGACAGATTTATGTGTGGTTTTGTATGTGTTAGAATAAATGGCGATTTTGAGATTATACTGAGATAATTGAACACAAAGAATACCCTAAATCCAGTATAACACTGGGCTATTATACGCTTTGAATATCTGTAATAGCTGGAAATAAACTGAGATAATATCAGACTTTTCTAGGAAGGTTGTTAATCCACATGCCAGTTTCTGAATCCTTTGTTGTATGAATCAAATGCAACATTTTGGACAATGTTACACTCATCCTGCCAACAAGAATGATACAGCCATCAGGCATTTTTAAGGGGGGCAGCTGTTACATTTCCTCAGCGGCTGCAGATTGTGGTTTTGGAGAAATGCATCACTTTGGAAGCTCCGGATATTTTAGTGATGTCCTAATCAAGGCCACGCCATGCTGCACTCCATCTCTGCCTCATTTTCGAGAGTAAACACTTTTGCAGCACGCAAATACCTCATCATTGTGTTTTCTGTGACTTTGCACTGCCAGAACACATTTCTCTTTCCACTGAGAGAGGAAGGGAGTGAAGGTGTTGCGTTGCTTGTGTGGTTGTGGCTTTGTTTTTGTGCGAGAATCCCTAAAAAGCTGGTGGTGAGTCGGAAGGACAAGGTAATTCTGGATAATCCTAAAACCCTGCAGCCGCTGCACTCCAGACTCACCCAGCCATGAAATTAAGATCAGATACAACACGGAGAGGGCCTATCCAAACAGCAACGCAAAGATAACACACACTAACGCTACACTACACACAAACAAAGCTGCTGGCATGTGGTGCGTTCAGCAAACTTTTGCAGAGCAGCACATGTGAACTAACATACAGTGTCAGATAGCAGGAACTCAAACAATGCACTCCCACATAAATATGCACATGGGGCACACAAATAAACACACTCCCAATGTCCTTGTGGCATTTGAGACACTGGGCACACCTTACTGTGATAAAAGCTCTGCCGTATAGCATGTTCAGACATGAGCGTCATTGATGTTGGGGAAAAAAAAACATTCAGCGCACCAGAACTCTTAATTATTTCATCTGTTTTCAGCTCAATTTTCCTCTTGTGCGCATGCTGGATTAAAGAAACTCCCCCATGCGGCATTATGACCATCAAAACAACATTCCAGAGAAATTGAAGAATTACAAGGAACTGCACGAGACAGCTGTATAATTTGTGTAACAATAGAGGCAGAAATTGTAGGGGAGAGTTCGAGTAATGATGCCATCATGAATGTGGACTTACCCCAAAGTCTTTCCCTGCCCACTTGCATTCATCCCTCTTGGAGGGGGTGGCGGGCCACGCAATCTGTAGGAAGAAAAGACAGTCACATTGTGCAGGAAGTGGAGAGGATGAGATTTACGTTGCATGAAATAGGGAAGGAAGTGAGTCAAACGCAGTGAATCAGAAGAAAACTAAGATTCTTGGAATTCCGGGGGAATGTTGGTAGATTGGTCATGTGTTAGAAAGAGACGTCCTGGTGTACCTACTGACCCAAATATACGATGGCTCTAATTATCGGACAACCCCCTTTCCAAGACTGATTTTCAGGAAAACAAACCAATTCTTGTTTCTATATGGAAAGCAGACACTGATTGCAGATACAGCCTCTGAACTGCCCACCAAAACAAGACATCAGCCTTCACTTATGCATGTACTTCTATCCCCTCTCTAAACCCAATGCAGTCTCAGCAGACAGCTGTCTTATATGTGTCTGGTTCTGCTCGAGGTTTCTGTTAAAGGAAGTTTTTCTTCTCCATTGTAACTTGATAAATGCTGTTTTACTGTTTTGTAAAAGTGTTTTACTCGTGGCTGAAGATGGGATGGGAGTGGGTCTGATCTTACAAGATGGGGCTTGGTTTTATCCCATCTTTACATCAGACCTTTGTAAAGAGAGGATGGTCTAGACCAGACCAGTGACATGGGATAACACTTGTTGTGAACTGGTATATAGATAAAGATTGGTTAATTGATCTTTGATGTGGAATAGAAAAGCCCCTAGATGCCTCAGAAACACTAAACATTTATCCTATAAAAGCCGACAGTCTCACAATGTGAGTGGATTTTACACAAAGTTGCCCAATTGTACCATTTGATTTTTGGTGCCATTATTGTTGGTACAACATCTTCTTATAGCTCTTTGTCTTGTATCTGTCTTTTTGGGGTCAATCATGTACTTCACCTTCACTGGCCATACCACGTGTAACTATTCATAAATCTTTATTGTGTATACACAATGATGATGCAAAAAATGGCCTAAAAAGACATAAAAGTGGTGAAGTAATGGGGGTTTAATGACAAGAAACTGAAACCAGTGGTTGAAAGGTTCCATGTTAGAATATATTTATGTATTGCTCTTTTTACTGCACTTTTTTTGGTTGATTAATACAGTTTATATTGTTTAAATTTTGGCTTCTGGTTCAAACAAATGGCATAAAAAAAAAAAATTGGTAACACTTTTATTTGACGCCTGTCTCTATAACGCATTATAAATATATCTATAATGCGTTACATTCACGTTATAGCACTGTATAACTATAGTTATAAACACTCATAAATGATTCTAATGCTTTATAGCAACAACACATTATCAAGCATTTTTTCATGACTTACAAGGTCAGGTATTATAATGTGTTATAACTGTTAACAACTCACTGACAATGACCACATAGATAATGCATTGCAACTGTTAATCATTAGCAATGATTATTGCTATAAAGCATTATGATCATTTATGAGTGTTTATGACTATAGTTATACAGTGCTATAACATGATTATAATGCATTATAAATATATTTATAATGCGTTATAGAGATATGAGTCAAGTAAAGTGTTACCAAAAATTCCTTCCATGGTTTGGATCTTAAGCATACGGTTTGGCTTTGCACTTGAAAAAAGTGCCAAAATCAAGCCTTTACTCCTTTGTATCAGGGGTAATATGACTCACCATGAAGTAAATGATGGCTTTGTATCGTCTTTTTGACTAATCCATCTGCAGCCCCTGGTGTCACATGAATTAGGAACACACATGCTGTGGACATGTGTGCATGTTTGACCCGTAACAAAAGAGGGAATGATCTTTTTCGCAAAATTTGGGTGCAAATCAGACAACTTTTTCTGCTTGGTGGCCACACAGATGTGAAAAGACGAAGGGAATGTATGCATAGGCACGCACATGCTTTGCTAAGTTTGATCAAATACACACGCGTTTCTGCTTCTATTCCTAGAGTTTATCTCGGCTGGAGATCAGCTGAGTTTTCCTCTCCTTGGAAATCTGCATTGCACGTTTCAGGGTAATTACATTAGATTTGCTTAATCACTGCTTTTTGGCCCTTATCTCCTAATGATGCAAAGATCAGAACAAAAGAGTTAAAAGAGAGGGTAAAAATGTACATCCGAGCCAAGGGCAAAAGAATTCATAGACATCCTCTCTCCTGCTTCCCCTCTCTCTGCATTGACTATGTATTTTTTAGCACTTTCATTCCCCTGCTCAGCATTCTGCAGCCTGCAGGCAAGTCTGTGTCAGTCTTGTGTGTCTATGATAGCAGCTCGAATCAGATAAAAAGACTGTTAACCTAGTCCAGGTGGGATAATGAAATTATGGACAGGCCTGTCTGGACTGAGACAGACAGTGGGAGGGATGAAGGGAGGAAAAGAGGGGATGGTGTAATGGACTCCAGAGGGAGCAGCGGTGGGGGAAAGAACAGAAAAGCTCATATAACAAACTGAAAAAACAGTCCTGCGCTCAACTCTTAAACCAAATATACACTCCAGTTATACCTGTTTGTGGTCTCTGTTAATGTTGACGAGGTCGAATGAAAAGATGTGGTCTTCGGCTCCGACCAGTAGTCTCCCTCGCTCCTCGTCCAACAGGAAAGTGTCGTAACTCGAGCTGTTGGCCAAGCCGTTGAACGTGACGAGATTACTGGACTCTAACATCTCTGGAAGAAGAGAAAAAGAGAGACATGATGGTGACTATTTAGGAGTGGCTTGCAATTTCTTAAAGACTGATACAACAAATTTGAAAAGGTCTTGATGTTGTCGAAGGCACATGGTTTCCGCCTTTTACTGTTTAGCAGAAAATCAAAAAACAAAGTCACACGGCCAACTTGTCTGTCTGATTCTTTACTCAGAGTGTGAAAAGCAAGCCTTGAGTTTAGTTTTCTCCATGTATTCATTTAATAATCTCTCCTTCCGGTTAGGCTGTTAACCGAAAGGAGGTAAGATGGAAGGTGGAAGTGACGAGTTCACGTTTTCAGAATAAAAACCAAAAGGATCGCTGAAATATTACTTATGCTAACAAGGCTAAGTGTAAAGCTTATTGGGCACTAACTGGTAGCCTTGGGTGCTTTCTATGAACTTTTACGTAGATTAAATGACTACAAAGCTGTGTAAAAAGTAACACCTATAATAAATCTTTGAGCTGCAGATCATGTAAAGCTACTCTAAAAGTGTCCCAGACTAACATACTAAAGGTGAAAATCAGTGGAATAGGTCTCCTTGAAAAATAACATCAAAATTGCAAACGTTTGTGTTTACCCCAAAGCAAATCAAACTTTTATGCCTCCACCATGTCAATACCCTGTTGTAGGAAACTAGTGACTTTTCCATGTTTCCTTAATTGCTTTTCCACACACAGTTTGCACACGCTTACATCTGCGTCACTCAGGTATAGCGTGAGGCTCTTGAAATGAACACAGCATGTCCCAATCAGGGACATGGTTCAGACTGTTCAGCCGTGTGATTGGTTGAATAATTCATATGGAGTCAGGGCTGGGGGAGACACTGTGTAAGTAAATAAGTAAGAGTGGGTGTGTGTGGCGCATGTAGCTGTAAATGGGTTATTATGTAAATCATCTTTGGAGAGTGTGTGACTGCACATGGATTTTTGCGCCGTGTTTTATTCAGGTGTACAAAGTTCTAATGGTTAGACTGACAATAAGCAGCCAAGCTTAATGAGAACCAGTATTAGCTTTAGCTTTAGCTCAGAGCTGAAGTCTGCTGCTCAGGAAGTTAACTTTTAATTCATGAGGATGATTTCCTTCAACTCTGACATCAGTTAGTGTTACAACAATAGTGCAGCATTAACAAAGATGCATGACCAAGTTAATCTTTGATTGATGTTTGTTTCAGGGATCTGAGGACAAACTGGGTCAGTTACACCGTTTACAGTGAGACCACTAAAGATTTAACCGTCAAGTAAAGCAATGAAAGAGAAGAAAGATCTATCTTTATTAAGGCTATTAAAAATAGGACTCAAAAAGATGATAGTGGTGAACAGACAACCCTTACAAACTGCATCAGACCCCTATTTTTATTGTTGGTTAATCACTTTTGTAGAAATTAAGACAAAATACTTCTATAGTTCCAACTTTGCAAAAGTAAGTATTTTCTGATTTTTTCTTACAGGATAACTTAAAGGTCCTGTGAGGAACTTTGTTTCAGCTTTGGCACCCCTTTCTGAGTATGTAGGCGTCTTAGCCCTTTTTTTTAAACATTTCCCGTGGCTGTCACATAACCTCTCAGTCTGATACCTACACTGCAGTAGTATTTACTGATAGTAACATTTATTTGTCCCAGTTAACAAGCAGCACTACTGTATCAGGTGGCAATCTTCCCTGTTCAGCTAGTTACTATTGGACCTTCTCACAGTTGAGGTATTACATCACTAAAACAATCAACAAACAAGTTAGTAAAGGTCTAACTGGCTGTATGCTGAATATTGAAAACGCACATCTTCACAGCTCTATGATGTTCTGTTTTTTGTTCTCTTCTTCTGTCGAGGGTTTGATTACCACCTAGTATGCAAACCATGAACACTTGGGCCAGCTGGATCCAGGTACATACACGCAAGAGAAGACTGATCCAGGTATGTTGGTCTGACCTTGAGTAATTCAACTTGGTGTGATTTCAGTCCAGTTTATGTCTAATGCAATCAGATCTGCCCCTGTGGAAGAGGACCCATTTCTATGTAAATGTGAAAGGTTCTTCCAGAGTTGACCAGAACAAAATGATTATTAAATCCAATCCAGGTAATTATAGTCTGATCCGAACAAATTTCTGAATATTACTTTCCATTTCTTTTAAGTCAGTATCACACACTGTACCTTAACTTTTCAAGTGGCCCCTTCCACACTTAAAAAATGTGCAAAATTGTTTAGTCCATCCATGGCCAGTCAAAGATTGACATGACTGTGGTGTTGAAAGCAAAGAAGGATGTTTAATTTAATGTTACTTTATCTCACAAGTGGGCTGACGAGAACTCATTGACATGGTAGCGTTACAGGTGGTAGATGGGTTATAAGTAAAGTGACCAGACCTTTTTCAAACACTGACTTTACAGCCACTGTTATTAGTACTGTGTACGAAACTCTTTTTAATCATACAATAATGTGTTTCGATGAAGAAGGGCCCCTCTTCCTCATATGCTTTCCTGAATAACTGTGGAGTCATCTGAAACCTTCGACAGTGAATTCGACTCTAGTGAATCAAACATGAGCCGTTTTCTCTGTGCATGTTTTGTGTCAGAATTTTATGATAATAAAAGTCACATTTGTCCAGCAGTCAAAATAAACAGAAATGAGTGTTCCCCTTAACCATCTGGCACGCGGTTGGTCAACTTGATACAAAACGCGTGTTCTTAATTTTCACCACTCTGCTCCATCAGCCTTACTATTGCTCTGCTTCATTCATCATCATCAGTGTCACTGTATTCCACTGACAAACACAGGCACACAATGTAGTAACCGGCACAAGGCTACACATATGCTTTATACTTGATAATGTACATTTTATATATATTTATACACACGAACGTGCACACAGATCATTGTGATCTCCCTGCTTTCCCCACAAAGCTCTGATTGACGGGCTGCTATAGGAGCCATCTGCGCCCACTCACACTGTGTAAGATCTTGGACATCTGTGTCTACATAAAAGAGAGGATTGATGGAGGAAGTGGTGTGTCAACCACGTCTGTGTATCGAGTACCAGTGGGGTGGATGAGGACCGTGAGAGGGAGCGGTCGGCACCTAATAAAGACGGTTGCAGCTCATCTGCGTCAGTTGGATTTCGTCTTTTTGAGGCTGAGGAAATGGAGCGGTAGGGTGGGTGGGTTGGTGGGTGGGTGTGGGCATGAATGGAGGTCTGTGGATGTGTGTTTGTGTGAGAAATTTGTAGCGTGCCACAGATGGGTTGAGCGTATGTGTGTGGGTTTCTGTGTGTGTGTAGGTATCTTTTTCTCTACACTGGGCCATTCCATGCACGCCAATATCCTTGCATTCACATGAGTACACACTTACGAGTCTGTTACTATGGAAAAATGGTGCCACGATACTCCAACTGTGACGCCAAGGATTTTAACGTCAAAGAGAAGAAATGAAAGCCAATCAGAAAGCCTCTTTTATTGAACCAATCAGGCGTTGCACTGTAGGTTCAGTAAGTATAACAAGGAAAAGTAAGGAAATGTGATTTCCAGGCAACAGCATGCCAGAGGAGGTCTTCAAATGTTTCAACTATGAAGTAATGGAAAAATGAAATGAAAACTAAGAAGATGGGAAATGAAAAAAAAAAGCAGTTTTGGGCTATAAAAAGATTTTAAAATAAATCAAATGGAAAAACTGGAGAGGAAAAAACAAACAACCAAAACTGAGAAAAAATAAGGAAAGAAGGGGGTTTCTCCTGACCTCTCTTCATCGCCATTTTGGATTCATATTTGAGAAATCTGTGTCATCTGATAAAGAGAGACCTGAACTATACCCTGGAACGAGGAATGTGGTCCGACATGGCAGCCTCCTGAATCCGTCACGAAAGGTTTACCCCAGATGGGCCAGAGAAGAAAAACACACGCGCATATTTCAACACGTGGCGGCCGCTGACAAAGACAAGGTGGCCCATGAACACACTGAATACACACACAGAGGGGTTTTTATCTGAGCTGAGATCTACTGCGGTTTGGAGAATTGAAGGAACTGGGCGTGAGCACCCCGGAGGACCTCCAACCTAAACACAGACACGGCCATTTGGAAAGGAGAGCATGGGCAGATATGGAGCGCAGAGCAGAGCAGAGCAGAGCTCATACAAAATACAGGACATACAATCGAAGAACATGTGAGCGCAATAAGACACGCAAACACAAGCGAAGCAAGTTCAACATCAACACAGCGTGCTCTGCTTTTAAAATGCAAACAAGTACACACCCTTAAACTGACATGCATATTATATTCATATTGACCTAAATGTAACACGGCATCGACTCTCCCTGAACACACACAAACACACACACACGCACACATACCCATACTTCCTCCCAGACTTAGTTGTAATCCAATCAGTATTTCTGCTTATGCAGCATGAACGAGTGGAAGAGTGAGCAAACTCAGCAGCTTCCACCTCTAACACACTCCTTTGCTCCGGACCCCTTCGACACACACACTCACACCAGGACTCGCAACAACACACCTTCTCCAGCATATGTGTGTGTATGTGTGTGTGTGTGTGAAGACAAGGCAAGCGCTCTCCTTGCTGCACTTTAGCCACTTGATACATTTAAACACGTAAAGTTGTGTGTACATGTGTAATTCACTTATGGTTACACACACTCTCTGTCTTTGCTGTGCAGTTTCAACACGCTCTCTCCATTTTAAAAACACACACACAGTTTATCCTACGTCTGCTATTTTTCACTCATACATAATGTTTTTTTGGTACATTAATTACATTCACATTAAATATTGATACAGCAGTGTATTGTCATCTAGGCAGGATACCGTAAATATTTTTCAGTGGAGGTGATGTGGAGCTCTATATGGATTTCTCTGCCAATTTGACTCACAGCATCACTACTTCATGACACTTCAGGGTGGTGTTACTTACATGAAAGAGTTCACTATGAATGGAAGTTGGTTGAACAGAGAAGAAGTTAACAGAGACATAGCAAAATGTCAGATAGAAGTGACTAAAGTCTGCGGAAACACTCACCTGCAGTAGGTCGATTTTATCCTCTACAGTCTTGCATGAATGTCAAAGCTCAAACAAGTTTATGTTTTTAGGTTTAAGAATAAATTATCAACAGGCTTACATCGATAAAGCCAATGCAGAAGTGCTACAATCTGCAGTTCCTTGAGTGTCCACTAGAGGCCTGCGCCAAAAGCCATTGAAGACGTGTTAACATCCATTCAGAAAAACCTTCATATCCAAAATAACATGGTTGCAGCCTGGTTGAAAAATGTATTTTGATCTGGAGCTCATATCTCTATTCACACACAATTTTCAGGGAGTTCATTTTTCCTAACTCATCAGTTTTGAAGGTATTAACACAGCTTACTTGACTAATAGGTTTAACTAACTGTGTTTGTCACAGCTAATGGTGTGGATCTGTTCTGAGAGTGACCTGCTCTTCCACATGTATACATGGAATACAAAAGCCTGAGGCAGGATGAGCACACCTCTCCTCAGTTTCATGTGTTTACATGATAGGACAATACTGGAAGAGCAGCAGCGAAGACCCGCGGAGAAAAGAGGAGAGTAAGCAACAGTGACGGTAGATGTGACAGTGTAAAAATCAAACAAAAGGAAAGACAGCTGTCCCTTGTTTGCATTCTTTCATCTCAGTGAAACCAAACCCAAGCGCAGTAAATACAACAACATTGCACTTTTACTTTTTAGGAGCATTTTATACTCTTCAGTACATCAGATATCATGATGTAACATTTTGTGATCATCTTGCAATATACTGGCGATTGCAGTAGCTCTGTATCATGATATTATTGTCAGTTCGCTGAATAATCTGTCTCGTATCAGATCATATTATGTTGTGATTTATCTGGAAATTTCCACCCTTAATGCACAGTGAGTGGTCTTTGTACACTCTGATCACACACACACACACACACACACACACACACACACACACACACACACACACACACACACACACACACACACACACACACACACACACGCGAAAGGACTCACTCATGTGTGTCCAAACATGATGTGAAATCGCTGTTTTATCAAACTAAAATGTTTGTATTTAAGTAGAAATTGTAACTTTTATCATATTTTATTTGCGTTGATGTTTTTAAATTTCCATTTTTAATCCACATACAAACACACAGCCTGTATGATCAAGGCCACTCCTTCAAACAGACAAAAACAAGCAATTCATTGAAATAAATTATCATTCTTCATTATGGAAAATAACCTGCCTCTTGTCTTAAAAAGCCCCAGGAAAAAAAAAAAAAAAAAAAAAGCACAGAGCCACATTCAAAATTCAAGTGCAATTGTCTGTGGAGTACTCTTCACTCCCCCATTCTCCGAACAGGCGGGCGTTTCAGACGCCTACATGCCACGCAATAGCGGAATAATGAAACTGCGTGAAAGAAAGGCGACAGGGCATTAAATTATGTTTATCTGAATGTGTGTCTGCGCTGCTGTGTGAGTGACACGAAACACAAAAGCCTGACAGAGGAAAACACTTGACTGAGATTCAACACATGGGTGATATTCCATTAAACTAAGGCAGCAGTTTTCAAGTGTTTCTCTTGTTTTATGTCTACAGTACAGGCTTAACAAGAAGGGAAGGCTTTTCAATATGTAAAAATGTCTTTGAATGACACATTTTGCTTGTTAATTTCCTGCTGTTGACACAGCTTTCTTTGATTTCCGCTGTTGGAAAAAAGGTGCGTGACTTAAACCCTACAGGTGTGTTCCTGTGGTTTGTCAGTCTGTAAGTCTGTTTTACTAAAGAGCTACTACACTGACAAGCAGAAAGAGAAAAAAAAGATGGTTAGAAAAGAAAATGGCAGCTCAAAAAGAGCTGGCGAAGAGAATTACACATGTTTATCTTTTAAACACAAGGCTAGCTTTAGAAAACCAAAGACACACTGTACTATAAAATCTCCAGAGGTTTGGTTTTGGCATGTCAGTCCTTCTGTCTGCCTTCAAATGCTTTTCTTTTTTCTCTGTGTGTGGCGCAGTGTTCGTTTTGTGCAGCTCTCATGACGGCCTCGGCCACAAAACACAGGTGTCAGAGGGGAAGAAAAAAAAAAAAAGAATAAAAAGCAGAGACTGCAGAGCCGCCTCGTGGAAATTTGCAGAGAGCTTTGCTTAACAAAGTGTTCAAATATTATCCTAAGCTCAAGGATATCCACACATGCCTCCAAAGTTCACCTCCCTCTCCCTCCCTTTTCTCTTCCTTTCTAAGCACAGTAGCAGGTGTGGGTTGGTTTCCATGGTGACCGTCTGTATAACACAACCTGGGCTGTTGGGTTTCTCATTCAGGTGTAGTTGAGTGACAGCTGCGGCAGGAAATGCGCCGCTTTAAACTCGACAATTAAGAGGGGCGCCCATTTGAACAAAAAAAATTACACATGAGCGAAGTGTGCGTTGATTGACTTTTGACACGACACTAAAAAAGAGGGAAGTTTGCTGTTAAAGCTGTAAAGATAAAAGGACTTTCTTCGATTCAAGCTCTTTAAAATACCGTTTCAGTTGAAATAGAAACTTAATTTTCTATTTCTAAACCAAAGTGACTCATAACTATAATATACAGTCAAAGTGCTGCGTATTATGGGGCTTTAAATACCATAGTCTGTCCTGTGGATATGAGCTTGTTTAACCATGGCGTATGTATCAGAGGGAGCAACAAGAAAGATGTCACCACATCCCAAACCACATGGAATCTATATGTGTAGTTTAAGTATGTGTCGAATTTCATGCAGCACCGTTCATTTCTCTCCACCAAAATGCTAGACCTCCTCTTCACCACATGACATTCCTGCTTTCCCTCGAAAGACAAAATCCAGAGAGTGAGAAAGGACGCACAACAGGAGAGAAAAAGCAGAGAAAGCAGCGTAATGAAAGTAAAAGTAGACCCAAGTAAAAAAGGATAATGGGGGTAAACTAAATCAGAAACATGAGCCCATGGGAAAAGAAATAATGCAGAAACAAAAGTGGTTCAAAGTGGAAACATTTCATTAGTGTGTGTCTCCAACTGTCACTGAGCGGCTGGACCGCAAAGAGTGATTTTTGACCACAGACCCTGCCAGAGGTCCCACTCACACACCACTAAATACCCACCGCGCAATCAGGCTGCTCTGCCTCCCTTTGCTTCCCACTACTTTAAAGAAAACACACACACACACACACACACACACACACATAAAGGCACACTTGCAAATACCAGCGTTCACTCTTGTATGCAAATAGAGTCAGACACAGACTTGTTTGAATATGTACAAGCAGGCAAAATGTGGCACAAATCACACCATCACTCCCTCTGCAAAGCTGTGCAGAGAGACAGAGACGGTGCTATCTAATGTGAGGCGCTTTGACGGATGGACTCTGATAGGAACCAGGCTGTGGTTAGTGTGGTCATGTCTGGAGCCACTGCCTGTTAGTGCAGCCTGTCAGCTTGTGCCGTGTAGCTGAATGTCAGCCCTGCCATTGTATTAGAAATTAATGAGGCAGGGTCGACAGATCTGAATGTGTCTCGGGCAAAGTGATGCGACAGAGACAGAGAACGCGCATCCACAGCAGCAGTTGCACATTTCAGCTCTGCACACCATTATTTACAGAGCTGGTGTAACAGGATGAGGCTGCGTGTAATAAATGAGAAAAAAACAGAGCGTCTGCAGTTTATAGCAATGCTAAAAAATGCAGGAAAATTATGATCATTAAAACCAAAAGTAATAAAAAATTACAGAGATTTATGCTATTTTCAACCCATTTCCTGATCTAGCGATGTAAATTACAACATTGGAGCTTAAGTGTTTTCAAAACCTGACTCATTATAGCTCATGCTGCTTCTGACATTTATGAGAGAGAGAGGAATATCAAGTCGAAGGGAAAGAGAGAGCATTAAGTTTTAAATTGCTGAGATTTTTGAGGGTCTTGTATTTCATGCCCACATTAATTTTTGACATAAAAACACGGAGAGTGGGGGATTAAAAGCGCTAGCAGCATCCTCACTCATAATAAATCTCAGCACATGCTCTTAACTTCAATCCCGTGCAACAAAGAAAAAACACATCCCTAAATCAACGTTTCTGTTTGCCTGCCACTCCCCTGTCTTTGTCTGTTTGTCTTTCAGTCCTTCAGTCCGTATTTCTGCAGGGATGTTCCCCCTCATTTGTAACACGACTCGGCAAAGACTGAATGGTGCACCCTTTCTCCCATCTGACTGACAAGACTTAGCAGGTGGCGGGACCCATTCATACCCGCGCTCCAGCAATCTGCGCCACGCTGTAACCCAAGCCTCCATCCCAAACACAGATGCAAAGAAACGGGATATTTTTCCCCCTGCGTGCATGTCCGTACAGTGCTTATGTACACACTGGGAAAAATGTACACTGCTATTGCTGAGTGCAGACTCATTAATCTTTGAGCAAACACGCTGCGCTGACACTACATCTTATTTTGGCTTAGAGCTGCATGCTGAATTATTTTTGAGAGTCGTTTTCCTGCAAATAAATTTTCCACAGCAAATAATGAAGCGATATTTCACAAACACAAGGGAGGTTCAAAGAATATGCACATATTTAGAAAGCTAATTACATATGCATGCAATGGAGGGGTCATAAAAACTTGCAGCCTATACCAGCCCATACTGGTACTGCATTTGGATTAAACTGCATGCATTAAGAGAAGAAAGATCAGCACCACGCTCTCTGAGATCGAAAAGTAGAGTCAAAACAAGCGAGAGATTTCTCCTCGACCCGATGAATGGCCTCTCTTTTTCTAAGTGTGTTTGAGTCAGTATACACTCATCCACAGGGCATTAAAGGTTGACAATAAAAAACTCACTCTCACACATTTCATTCAACTTGTGGACTTGTGTGGTGACTTGTAAGCTTATTCAACACTGTGGCCTGTCAGGCTTGTGAGTAAGGGTAGAGAAATGTAACTTATGGAGGGCAGAGGAACCACTGCAAAACTTTGCGGCTTTGAGGAAGCGATGATGAGGGCAGCAGAGTCGGTGTGTGCGAGTTCGAATAGAGCTGAAATAGCCAAAAGATGTGTATCGACTGAGCTGCAATCAAAGACACAGGAAGAGGAGACCAGCAAGAGCGCGCGTACGAAGACACACACAGAGACAGCCTACTTGAAGATTGTACTTAGGGGTCTGCGGTGTAGTGGTTCCTTAAGATGCGACTGAGCCACAGAAGAGGGAGGAAAGAGAGGGGGGAGGAAGAAAAAGAACGATGAGAAACAGAGAAAGAGATGGAGGCAGACGTCTCCCAAGTTGGGAGAACACCTTATAATTATCTACATCCGCTCTGTCAGCCCGGGCCCGCAGATCGGACAGAGGGAGAAACAGACCAAGAGAGGGGAGACTCCAAGCTCGTTCACATACAAAAGAATGAATAAGACACACTGATAAAGCGATACACACACGCAAACAGCCACAAAGGGGATGTTTACGCCCACACACAAGCACACATGGACACACTCGCACAGCCTGGCTCATTATGGGGCCAAGCCCAGACTTCGTTGAGTGCGGTTCCACGCCGAGTGTCTATTTTAAAGGGTTGTAAGCCAATTCCAGATTCCCCTGTCTCTTTCTCAGTCTCGCTCCCTACATCTTCCCTCCTTAGTTCCACCCATCAATCCATCCATCCATCCAGCCAGCCAGCCAGCCAGCCAGCCAGCGTGGGGCGTCTGCTGTGGCATTAAGAGGTCATAAAGCAGCCTCCGTAATTACCCATGCCGAGGGTAATTATCAGGTTGTTTAACGAGGCTTTTTAAGTTTTGAAGAGATGCTAACTTTGCACTTTTTTAAGGCATCACAATAGGACTAAGTTTAGGAGTTTAATTAATCTCCCTCTCTGTAGCCGGTGTGCGCTGTAGTGCACTGATTGACCTTAGGGGGTCAGTGTCTCTCCTAATTCACTCATGGATTGTGTTCAGGAATGTAAATGTGTGTAGGTATGCATTGATCCATGAATTGTCTCAGTGACACCTCTTTGTATACAGTTTCTTTACTGTGTTAGCATTTGCAACATGAACCACCTCTGGCTAAGGTTTCAGTCTGTGCATGGATTTAGACGGTAATTCTCGGAAATGATGAGTCACTTAAAGTTTGAGTGAGCATTCAAGTTTTCATGTTTTCATTTACAGAAGTTGTTTAAACATGTCCGCCTTTGATCACAAGATCAATATGCCTCATCAAGCAGGATTATTTTAACATGGACTTGAATATCCCTGTATGCCTCTGAAACAAGTCAAGGCGAGGACAGGAAGAGAAGAGCTATTCTGGTCTCAAGGAGAAGAGAAAATCATTAACTCCTGTGATCTTACTTCTGTCCCCATGAAGCTGGATCCTTTAAGCTGAATGTCTCACTGACCCCAGTGGGAAATCATTTACTCTTCACTTGCTGTGCCAGCTGTCCCATGAGGGGTCATTTTCCCTACCTGCCGCCATTTCTCACTCGTTCTACCTTTCAAAGTGCTCACTCTGCAGTCGTTTGACTGTCCTTTCCGCCTGAAGACAATCACTTTCTTCCCTGACTTGTGGCCCCCTGAGGCGTGTCATCAGTGCTCATTTAAGGCTGATTTTATGGGTTCCTGCTCAGATGCTTGACGTTTATTTGACTTTCCCCAACCGAAGGCCCTCCTTGTTTTTGGAACTGTCCCACACCTGGGCTCGGCCTCTGAAGGGCTCGTTGATTGTTTGACTGTCCTTCCCTGGAGGATTCCTCCTTGTCGTTTATTTGACTTAATTACTGTGCTGGCTCCTCAGAGGGAGAGGAGATGAGCGACACTTCACTTAACAACCAGCCTCCCTTCCCTCTGCGTCGTCTGCTGTACGTCTGCCAGCTTTTCCTTCATTAGAAGGAAATCCCCCCCTCCACCACTGAAACCCCCACCTCATCCCCAACCCTCTCAGGGTGGGTGTTGACTGGGAATTGTCCCCCTGACAGACATCAACTGAGCCATCAAACACCTGTGGGCATGAGACATAAGTGCAGACACTAGCTAGCAGAGAAACACAAAGAACACAGGATTTACTCCAATATCATTTTTCCTACTGATACTGATACCGACACCAATACCTACACTCCAGCATCTGCTAAGACAAAGACTTCCTCCAATACTTGAGCTATAAAAACTATATGATATAAGAGGAAAAACAGGACTGCTGACTGATGAAATCTAAGACTGACCTTACACTCTCTGCTGGCACCACACTCTTATTTCTGTAACAGACTTTCACACTGTAATTTTATAATGACACCGCTGGTGCTGACATCAGTATTGGTAAAAGCATCTGTATGTATCAGTATGGAAAAATTAGCTTTTTGAAGTTTTAATTTGGACATTTTTATGCCTTTATTCAGAGAGGATAGGTCAGAGCGGGGAATCGAGAAGGGCGGCTGGAAAGGGGCTGCAGGCAGAAATCCAACCTCAGCCCCCCTCTTGTGGACTGTGATCTCTGTGCATGGCGCAGGCAATATAACCATTTCGCCAAACTGTTGCCCCAGAATAACTCTTTTTGTTCTCAAACTGATGCTAGTTTTAGCCTTACAATACCAATACTGATGCTAACAATAATCACAAAACTGGTATAAATATTGTAAGTGTTAGTGTCAAATGTTGTGTAGAATCAATCTTTCTTTTTACACTTACTGAAATAAATAAATAAAACTGGTACTGCCAACACAATACTGATACTGATACAAATATCGGTACTAGTGCTGGTATTGATATTGGAATATGTAGTTACAAAATGCTGCATTTTACCCACTGTTACATCAGTATAATGAGACTGATATTGATCCTTATAATGGTATTAGACATACAATACATATACCAATACTAATATTTGTACTTATACCAATACTTAAACCAATAGCTGTGCCAATAAGTGTTAGTATAAATACCAGTATGTAAACAACTCTTCAAACTTTATGTAACATGAATTTGTCTGGTACAGATACTGTTACTGGTAATATCCACAAAATACCTTTACTGGTACCAACACTATTATTGGTATTAGTATTGTTACAGGGTATCAGTAACACTACTTTTTCACACTGAGTAAAATCAATTCAAGTAATACTGGTGATGCTAGCTAGTATACAGATAAACTAATTTTAGTATTGGCCACTAAATGCAGATACTAATACTGATATTGATAATGCTACCAATACTATTCAGATTATCAATACTGTTATGGATGTAAGAAATTGTATCAGTATCAGTTATGAAAACACTCTATATGCACATTCAAACCAACAGCAGTTGCAGATCACATCTTTGAAACAATAATTAAAAAGTGTGGTTTTAATTGTTGAATATTTAGCTCGCACCTGTGGCGGATAACTTTATAGATAGTGACTCACACAATAATGCATACAAGTTCAAACAACAGCAGAAGTAAACAACAGTTGGTAACCATGCACAGACATAAAAACACAGATTCAAAAGCACTAAAATATGCAGATTATGTGAGTTCATGCCTATGTACACAGCCCCACGCACTAAACCAGGTGTCTAATTATATGAGTGCAAGCCAAACCTGACACATTCTTGCCTAAGTAAAACACACAAAACCCAACACACCGAGACACCACTTACAGTCGAAAGGGAGGAAATCTCAAGAGAGGGTGTTGAGTCCTCACACCAAGACGTGGCAAGAACATTCGCACACGCGCACACACATACACACACACACAAACAATGAGGCTTTGATGTACTTTTAGCAAAAATAACTGTACATCCACAAAAGTACATCTATCATGACAGCACGTCTCCCAGCAGACCTGCCATGCTGGTTTTTGACTATCCACATCCATCACTCATACAGTCACTCAATACAGACTTTGATGCTCGATGACATATCTCTTGTCTCATATTGTTGTCGGCAACGTGTTCTCTTGTCAGACTACACAGAGAAGAGGATCTCAAAAGAGGGCAGGAGGGAACTATATTCACATTCTTTTAACAGATGGCTGTGCAAAGGAAGGATGACATTTTCCCATCATGCCTAGAGGCTCCTGTTTCGTGTGAACTGATATAATGGAGCCCATGGGATGGATGACTTCTAGCAGGTAAGTTCAACCATGATTCACTCCAGATATATCTTGTTCGGATGGTAAATGTATGTCATCACTTTTTAAAATGTTTCACTGGAGCAAAAACACACGGTGCCAAATTCAGAGCTAAAAACCTAGAGCCTCAAGGCCCATGCATTTTTATTTTAAATCGAGGATATAAACAATCACCATAAACACTTTAAAATTGAAAGGGTGATAAAAGAAAATATACTTCACCACAATTACAACTTGCACTCAAGCTAAAATATAAAGCATGTCATATAGCAGGCCTCTAAACATAAGTTACGCCAAACGTCTCAGCTAAAGATAGAGAATAAATTCGAGTGACAAATATTATATTTGCTCCTGTCAAAAAGCAGAGAAATCAGATTTTTCCCTCAAGATAGATTGAAACTGTCGCCGGAGCCAAAGCTCTGGGTGACACTCAACCACACGGTCGTGTTTTTGGCTGCAAAGCGGCGGCAAATCAGCCCGTTCGTAAATTTTCAGAGGGCATGTTTTACGAGAGAGGCAGGACAAAAATAAAGAATCGAGGGACCACACTCTCAGCCGTATACTTTGGGTCATGTTTTAGGACAAAGAACCACAATAGCCTACCATCACTGACATTAAAGAGAAAAAAAAAACGGCTTCCCAAAATATGCCAAAAATGTTGCCAGTTATTTCTGGCTGAGATGAAAAGTCTGCTATTACGAAGACCCCTGATTTAGTGGAGGGTGTGAGAGAGGGTGTGAGAGAGGACATAGAGAGAGAGAGGGAGAGAGAGAGAGCGAGCTAGAGAGAGGGAGGAGGAGAGGGAGAACCGGCGCTCCGCAGTCTCCCCTCAAAATAACACAGAAGGAGAGAGAATAACATGTTTGCTTGTATACGTCAAAAACTTACACGTGCATGATATAAAAAGACACAAGAAACTCCCTCTCATTTTTGACCAATTCATTCTGCCGCACTGAGAATATTTAATGCACACATATTAAATCAGCATGCATATATAGCTGGACCCATAAAAAATGCAACTGTTGGATGAATTTAGTTTAACGCAATAGGAAGTTGTGAAACTTGCAAAAAAGCCCCTTAAAGAAAGACCCTGTGTCATGATCAAAACAGACTTTTTGGGACAGAAGCCATCAAAACAGAGGCTCTAATGCCGGTTCAGGGCACTTAACAGGGCTGTACGGTGCTATAAGAAGGGAAAAACTGGTACAGGGGCCAAAATATACATTTCACTCCAGGCAAGAAGGTTTTCGTCAGCATATGGAACCAATATGACTTTTTGTAAGAAGAATAGTGAATTCTTAGAGTGAGTGCAAAGGAAGGAGTGAGTTAATGAAAGAGAGAGAAATACAGGAGGTTAAGCAGCAGGGAGTTAGATGCTGTGTGTGCGCCCTGACCAAAAGGCTGAAAGAGTGAATGAGAGAGACACAGAGGCAGAAATAGATTCAGAGAAAAAGAAGAGAAAATGCATGAAAAGAAAAGCATAAAAGAGCACCCACAGGCAAGACACCAGTCCAGCTTTTTAAAAGCAGCCACAGTGGTTCGAGTATAACCTGGAGTCAGGGGGGAGAGCAGAGAGTGCGCTTACCCTTGTATGACAGCTTTAGCCTGGGTACGTTGTGCTTGGGCTCATCACCTCTCCCTGCGTGCACCGCCCCGCACAGCAGCACTACAATCCCAAACAGGTAATCCATGGTGCTGGAGCGCTGCTGCCGGCCGGCCTCCAGACCAGGGGGGCACTCGCACCCCGACCAGTGCCCAGGGATGAGTGTCTCCTGCTGGGGTGCGCCAAGCCTGGAGCGTCCCCTGAAAGTGGAGGTTTCCAGGGGAGAGGGGGAGGGAAAAAAAATCCTGGTTGTGAGGTGGGCTTCTCTGTAGTGCAAGGTGGGTGCCGCTCACATGGCTCCCCGAGTGGAGGTCCAAGGCTTTATAGTCCCTTTGGGTTTATCTCTTCTCCCCCCAGGTGGAGGCTCAGCAGGGCTTCAGCTTGACTGAGATAAGAGCCTGTGTGAAAAAGGTAAATCAGATCACTTAGTCCACAATAGTGAGGCTGTCCTTTTCTAGAGAGTATTTTTCTCTCTCTCTTTCAGTCTTCTTCTTTTCTGTCTTCTCTTTGAGCAGACACTCACAGCAAACCCTCTAATCCTTGTGTGCGGCTCCACCAGACTGCCAGGGAGAGAGAAAGAGAGAGAGAGAGAGCTTCACCATCCACGGGAAGAGAGGGGAGGGGAGGGAGAGCAGCTGAGAGAGAGAGAAAGAGAGAGAGGAGGGGGGCGGGATGACAAGAGAGCCATGATAAAACCAGTAAAGTGGAATAGAATTATGGTGGATCATGAGGTTTATATAGTTTCGTCTCTTCCGCTTTTATTCCCTGTGGTATTAGTCATCAGATGCCCATTTTTGACCCTTCTCCTTTACACAAGAAAGAGGCGTGTGCTTGATTTAATACCTCTATCACTTTATTTGCAGGTAGACTGTGAATGCTTACAGAAAAGTGAGACAGACCTAGAAATATTGAGCTCGTCGATACTCCAAATGTTTGTCAATAATGCAAATAACCTCTGAGATATGTTGAGGACTTAGATTGAGTACCTACTTCATACAGGGTCCAAAATCCAACTCAAAAGGGTTAAAATATTCCCTCTGATCTGTCCTGGAAAACTTAACTTGGTTGAATTTTTTTTTTTTTTTAAATACTTTTGATGGTCAACAAGATGTCCTGTCATAATGACTGAGATAAAAGTTGACAAAAATATGAAGCTCTGTTTAGTTGGGCTCACTGTTTTTGAGCTTCCAACCAAATCAAACAACCCTCATAGATATCTTCTCAGTTTTCATACGACTAGATGGTGTAACTTTAGTTCAGATCCTTTGCCTGAATAAGAATTGAACATGGTTGCAGTTGCTAGTTAGAAAATTACTTCTTTGTTAAACTAATACTGTTTTAATGATTGTAGGTCTTTTGTAAATGGTTATTTCTGTAACGCCATAATGCTCTTCCACCAGGATGTAAACAAGCACAGATGACTGACCGCATCCTGCAGTATATTTATCGAGAAAACCACTTGACCAGGGCAATGGGCTACCATAACGGACGTGTGGATGGTGGTGCTAGCTCTGCTAATGTTAGCCTGATGTGGCAAACCAATGTGACAATGCCATAGACTGTATATAGAATGGACACCGTCTACCCTCGCGCTGGGTGAAGCCACTTCAAGAACAGCACACTCTAGTGACAGGCTGCGGTATAGGTCATAAATCCCGCCTTCTCCAGCAAAGTTTATGAAGCTGTGGACAAACATTAAAAAATTATTACACAGATCATACATTTTTCTCCCCCCTGCTTGTGATGTTGACACGTAGAATCAAGTTGTCCATAGTATATATAGTCTATGGACAATGCTTATTTGAAGACTCGGTGATAGTGAGTTTAGCTTTGTGAATCAATCTTTGCACAATTTGGACTCCTGTCTGAGTGTTTTACAGCCATAAGACTCGTCCATTAGTCAGGATTTGTATGTCTATTAAAAACCAGCTGTTTGGGATCATCCCTAGTTGACGCTTGTTTAAACCTGGAGATTTCTGAAGAACTGTATAAATACCAAGACTAAGATGTTGGAGAAACAGCTTCAGAAGCTACACCCCATTGGAAAAAAAGCCATTATATGTCAGAACTGCAGTGTACTTTGACACTGTGTGTTTAGATTTGTGACAGGTGTATTTTTATGTGTTACAGCTTTTTTTCCTCCTCTGCAGGTCTCTTTATGTGCTGAGTTAATAAGAAATGGACTGGATGACATGGTTGAAGAAAAAACGGTCATGTTCTTGGAAAAAGTTAAGATAAATAAATCAAGTCTAGGCAAGACAAAACAACAGAGAATAATACCTTTAACAGCCAAATCTTGTATATCATAAAAGAAGATTACACAGAAAGGTTTGAATCTGTGGCTTTAAGAGCTTGCATATGCATTTGTCACACTTGTTTTCTTCATCTCAGGATATCATTTACATACTTTAAAAGCGCTCTGAGGATTATGCACATAAATCCAGTCAAAATTTTCCCACTGAGGGTATAGATTTTAAGCGTGTTTTGGATTTCTCCAGCCTAAGCGAGTCGGTTGAGGGGAACACATGCTGGTAGTTAACCTGTATAGTCTGGGACAGATCCTGTATCTGGTTAAGTCATTCACATCAGCGGAGCAGGTCAACAACATCCCCTTCCCCCAATGCCCCCTCCTCCTGTAAAGCTCTCCTAGCCCCTGCAGGTGTTTGTGCGTGTGGGAACCTCCTGTTTCCTCTCACAGGGTGACCGAGCAGTGGTGAGGCGATAAAAGCTTTGATAAACACGAGTGCTGATGTGTCAACTCACACACCTCAGGACACTAAAAGAAAACAACCTGAGACCTGGATGGGTGTCGGGTGACCAGGGTAAATGTGTGTGTTATGATATAAGGGTACCCTCATATTTAAGCACTCCTGGTGGAGCTTTAAAGTGAAACTACAGTTGCTGCTGTGTGAAGCATGTCTAATCTTGCATTTTTTGTGTTTATGCGCTCAATAAATGGAAATTTTCTTGTTTTTTTTCAGATATGGATGTTGGTGTCCTACATATTCTGGTGAAAGGAAAAGAAAAGTTGGCATGTGGGATGCATGTTTCCTTGGAGGGAGACCATCTTTATTCAAGCTCATGTATTATTTTTTATAGTTTTGGCCGTCATCCCTTTTGGTAAAAATAACAATGTAGTCTTTGAGTCGCTTCTAAGATCTGGAAGGAAAGTCATTTTCAAAAATTTGGGCAAAGAAAGAGACTTTGAGTATAGAGACTTGTTAAAGCATGAGTCTTACCGGTGTAAACATGGGTTTAACTTTGAAATCATAACCCATTTTGTCAATTTTATCCATCATAGTTAAGAAAACCCCATTTAAGTATATAAGACTAGATATTTTTTGTGTATTTCATTGCAGGTTTACCTCCTTTTGAAACAGCTAATACAACAGTTAATAACTCCCCTAACAGCTGACTTGTTTACAACTTCATTTAAGGCGTATTTGTGCTCATATTTCCCGCCTCATTGGATTCTATAGCCTGTTAATCATATTTCTAGATCTCAGGATATAACAAAATATGTTCAATTTTGGGATAAGACAGAAGCTTTGGCTACATTAACTAAAAATTGTTAGAAGGTAATGTATTTCCAAACTATAGTTCACTGAGAGTCTTCAGAAGATGTGTTCAAAGTTGTCGGAGCATGAATTTAAAATACCAACTCGAAAGGTAAACAAACACTAAGACAACAGCCAAAACTGAATCCTGATAAACACCAGATCAGGAAATCGAATACTATCATCATCCAGACTTCAATGAGTCTAACCGTCCATATGCCTGTGCTGTTTACATGTTGCTCCTGTCAAGTGATACAGGCTGCGCGAGAAGACATTATCTGTCATCTGTGCTTGTTGGAGAATTGTAGCATCATGATGTAAGACATTTACCAGAGCGCAGCTGTGGTAAGTGGTGGGTACAGCTAAGGCACAATGTATGACCGGTATTTCAGGCCTTTGGTAATAAAAATATTAATAATTTGTTTATCTGACTACGAACTCTAAAGCTGAAGATAACACATGAATCACCCAAATCAGAAATAAATTGCTCTTTATCAGGCAAATTGTAAGATTTAATACGGGTTGTTTCTGGAGCCAATTTGGTAAAGACTAGTGTTTAAAATTAGTCAAGCTTCCTTTTAACAATTCTTATCCCTTCAGAGGTTAGACAACAATTTCAACCTCAACCAAACAGACCCAGAACAATTCATCAATCTAGGTTTTACATTGTGTTAGTCTGCTTTCTCACTGGGTCTGTTGGAGTTGTTTTGAATGAATCTTGATGAGTGCCATCCATGTCCTCTTGTATTCACTTCCACAACCATGGCGCCCGTGTCCTCGTATCTCGTCACCCCTTTAGTCTAAACAGCCTTTTTAGCTGTTTACCCACAACAAAAAGGAAGTGCAGACAGACACGTGAAAGCCCCCTCGGCCTCTCTCCATCGACCTTTCCCTCTGTCCTCCTGCCCCGTTCAGCCACCTTCCTCCCATTTATCAGCATCAACCAAACTAATGGCAGCTCGGCTACCTGCATCGATCCTCACCCGGTGGAGTGAGACGTGCTGAAACATGCCTCCGCGGCTCGCCCTTTAGTGAGTGCAGCAACAGTGCGGCCTATCCCCGTCGATCTATTTGAGACACCCGAAGTCGCAGCAGCCCTGAGTAATGACGGCTTAATAAATGGTGACACGCCGTTGGCGGTGGAATGAGATGCCCATTGACAAGGAGCTTCCAGAGGCTTTCAGCGCCTACCGGTAAAAATAGAAGTGGACACGAGACACCCTGGTTATGGGTACCAAGAGGATGGGGGAGAGGCGTCAAACGGGCTTGAGCGTCTGTGTGTATGGCGAGTGTCAATGTGCGGTTACTGATATGATGGTGTATCTTCATCTGGTTGGTATGGGAAGTTAATGTTCTGCGTATGTGGGAGAAAATGATTAAAGCAACTTGACCCCTGATGTCTGTTTTACAGAGGACATCCGAAATGTCCCACCCTGAACTTCGCCTACACTGACCTCTGATCTTTACCGTTCTTTGGCACACGCCTTCAAACTGTCCAGCCCTGTTTCCTACCCGACCTAATGTCCCTGAGGCCATTACCACTGCTTGAAAAGCTTATATCATCACTCATGTTTTGATACGTGACGTATGGAGTTCAAGGTAAGAACTGTCATCACTTCCACGATGCCACTGGAGTTCATGTTGCTTTTTAATTCCTGTTCCCACGTAGGAGGTCACAGAGCAACTCCTTACTCAGCAAATGAAACGTCCAGGAAATATGAGAGGAAAAGGTGGGAGATAGTCGAGAAAGATGGGTGGAGGCATGATAGCATGACATTTCCATTAGCAAATGTCAAAAAAGACCCAGAGCTGCATATCTGACAGGAAAAAGACTCAGGGAGGGAGTGTTCTAGTGTGCACATGTATAAACATGAGGGGGAGTACCCCAGATCATATGACCTCATAAAAGACGCAGTAACAGATGAAAAGTGAAGAAAGTGAAACTATAAAAAGCTCCGCACATGGACGAGTTTTACTGGAAACTTTTACTGCAAAAGGGCGGATTAGAGGAGGCGCATAAGTTACAGAGATAATTGTGTAACTCTGGACTTTATCTTCTTACACATCAG